TTTATCTTGATCATTAAGAAAAATCGAGATTAAATTTATATTATCATATTTCACAATATAAATATGGCCAAACAATCAAATGGTTTTTTCAAAATTTTTAAATAATTTTTTCGAGGCATAATTAAATTTTTTTCTTAAGACAATACATGCCGTCCGCTTAATTTATATAATACAACGGATCAAATATATTTTGCATATCGTCTCGGAAAAGTAACAAATTCAATCACTTTATTATGTTTTAATAAATTTATACTATTTACAAGACTTAAAATTCTGAATAAATTTAGCATCATTTTTATCCAAATTTTATAATAAAAAGACAATCAAGCAATATAGCTTTTGGTGGAAGTATAGAAAAATACAAATAAAATGCTTTCCAAAACAATTATTTATGTTGCTGTTTAATCAAGAAAATACATATGCATGCTAGTATTTGTTTTAAAGTCAAAAGAATTGTGCAACAAGATGATCTTTGTCCAAAAGATGTCACACGTTTTTAATTAAAAGAAATAATGGTCAAAAAGTAAAGGATTGTAATTTTTATCGTTTTCAATCAAAACAGTTTGTAACTGTTTCGTAACTCATGCTTTTAATGGTTTTTTTTTTTTTTCAATATTTTATTGAAAATATCCCAACACTAACAGTGTTAAATTATATAATTAGTACCATAGGATCGGGATACAAGCCAAGAGTGTTCACTATTTGATAAAAACCGAATAATCGAACCGAATCGAATTATAATCGGTTTTTGATTTCGGTTTCGATTTTTTTTTAATTCGGTTAAAACCGAATAACCGAAATTATTAAATTTTTTTAAAAAAATTCATCGATGAACGACGTCGTTCATTCCAATCCTCACACCCTCGCGCAAACCTAAGCTAATTGGAGTTAAATCAATTAGCCTATAACCAATTCTTGTTGCATTAATTACATGAGCCAACTGGCCCAACGCCAAATGACCATAATCAATTCTTGTTTATAATTGCCCAAGGAGGTACATAATTTCTTTCTTGATTCAATTTATAGTTTTTTTAAAAAAAGATGTGAGATAGTTTTTTTTTTCTATGTGAAAGAAAACTAGTTAATTTATGGACCACGATAATAATTAGTATGTCTCTTTTTAGTAAACACATATAATTTAAAATTGTGCTAAAGAAAGTTGAGTGTTTGAAGTTTTAATGTTCTTCGTTGTTCAAAAACAACATTGTCATTTAATTAGCAAATGTTAACTTTATGATTGTAGTGTTTAACAAGTTATCCAAAATTATTGGTTCTAATTACGTCAAGTTAATTAAAAGTGTCTTTCATAAAGACAAATAAGTCGATTATATTTGAGCTTCAAAGCATGCTCTGTTTCTTTTTAGAATGAATTGTTAAAATGTCTTAATTGTAACACATATTTGACGGTATTATCTACTCATATTGATAGACAATAACATATATTATATATTATTAGACTTTTATATGGTAATGATGACATCTCGTATTATATATATATATATCAATTGATATAATATTCGTAATGCCTATCGAGGAGTAGTAAAATAATAGTAAATAGATAGAGTTCAATGAGATTGAAAAACGTATACATATAGGAACGTATCCTAAAATCACAATGCAAATACTGAATTTATTTTTTCGAAAGTACATAATCCTTTCAAAAATCAAAAGTATAGATAATTACGGATGAAAACCGAATTACCGAATAAAAAAACTCATATATTTCAAAACTGAACCGAAAAGCCGAATAATAATTTGGTTCGGTTTCGGTTAGTTTTTTAGACAATTCGGTTACCTAAAAATCGGTCAAAAAAGTTCAAAACCGAACCGAATTACCGAACGAACACCCCTATACATGCCAACTATGTTTTTTTTTATTAATTACAATATATATATATATATCTTTTAATCTTGTCTCTCTACTTTTTTTAACATAATTTAAATAAATAAATTTTGAAAAAAAAACGGCAAAAAAATGCAAAGATAAGAAAAAAATTATCCAATTTTTTTTTATATACTTTCAAATTTATCTCTATAGCGGGAAGAAAATTTTAAGTATAAAATAAAATATTTATAGAATTTAAAAAAATTCAAGAGAGCTTTAGCTAAAATTTTAAATTTTGAATAATATTTATAGTTTTATAATACCTCGAATGAGTTTATTTTATTTTATTTTTCATATATATCCGGTTGTACTTTCTAAAAATTGAGAAGTAAAAAACTAACACAAAAGTGAAAATAAAAAATATTTTTTTAATCCAAAGTATCCTTTATGGGTTTAACTTTATCTCATAGCAAGTATTTTGAGTATAAAATAAAATATTTGTGGTTTTTTTTGAAATGTCAATAGACTTTAATTAAAATTTTAAACTTTTGAGTAAGATAATTTTACAATACCTAACAAAAGTCTATTATAATTTATTTGTTTTCATTTTATAAATGTCTAAAATTTGACTTAAAAGTAGGAATATAAATTTTATTGAGAATATTCTCTTAAAAGTATTTAAAAGATCAGATATATCTTTATTATTATTTTTTTGTTTTAGTTCAAAATTTATCTATTTAAATTCGATAAAAAAAAGTAGAGGGATGAGAATAAGGTAAAATAAAAAAGTGACATGTTGTGGTGTTAATAGTGAGGTTTAACATCTTTAGTCCAAAAAGTTAATAGAATGACATGATTAAGACAGAAATCAAACATAAATTGATGAACTTAGGATGAAAGTAAAGAGGGATACAATAAAGAGAAAAAAAAAGAAAAAAAAGAAAGAAAGAATAAAAGAATCCTTACAAATTAGCCAATTTTATCCTCTATATTTATGGCAAATATTCATCTTACTATAATCTTTAAACTTGTTTTACTGATATAATTTCCTCAAAATATTGTAAGAGTGGCAATATAATGTTTATATTATCAATTTGAGTTAATTATTTAAACCACAGATTATTAATTTTGAGTAGATTTTATAATTATTTGCTATGTTTGAAGGTCAAAGTATTGAACATTAACTAAATACTTGAAATGATGTTGTTTTAAATATTTTTGATTTTTTTTTTTTGAGAATTAAATTTAATTTTGAAATAATAATAATAATTAACTTGAAAAAAGTCAAGAAGATTTTGTTAGGGATAAAAGTAGAATGAGTTTTTAAATAAAACCATTAATGTATTTTTTTTTCTTAAAGATTCGCGCAGTCTTGATTGGAATTCATTTAGGGACCAAGCGAGTAGAAACTCCAGGGTTAAGTTAGATGGAGTATTGATTTTTTTACATGCTAATTTACATGAGTTTTCATGAAAGGAAGTAGGAAATTGGAAATTGTTGTTCTTTCTACGACATCAAAGAAGGAGCCAAGAGATAATTATCTATGCGCATTAGATATTAGGTAAAAGCTAATCTTCATTAAGCAATATCTGAATGTATTTATTATTCTTATATTATTGATTTGTGTTAAAAAATAATAATAAATTGAATATTTAAATAAAAATAAATAATAATCATTAAAGACAATAAATAAGTGATATTTTATATACTATTATTTTTTTAGGTGTTTACAATAAATTATAAACAAAAAAGAAAATATTGTGATTAATTATGAACATTAAATGAGTTTTAGCAAGTGTCCTAGCACCACCGATTAGTCAGACCATAGATATTATATTACTTCCTAGGAAAAAAAAAATTTGATTCTCCTCGATAACGGAATCTAACTGTATTTTTTGTAGTGGAATCACAACAACTATATAATATTCTTGCTTCCTTGTAAAATTTTATTCGCTTCCATTCCTGATTCAAATAAACGAATCAAATTAGAAAAAGGAAACTTCAATACAAGAAATAAAATTTTCTCTTAATTATCCAAGCCCAATCGACTCTCCATTATTATACAATAAAAGAAGGCATCAGCAGTTACCGCATAAGTTCTCTTGCTCGTAATAAGTACCGGCCAATGACCCATGTGTTGCCACGGTTTTAATTTTTTTAATATATATTTTTGCTAATGTATTTTTTTAGAAAAAATTACAGGAGAAAAAATATTAATAATTATATATAAAAAAATCTCTAAGAATAATACTTAATAAAATACTTACATGATATATAGTTTATATAAAATAATTCTAAGATGTTAAAATATTGATATGTTTAACATATTTTAAAAAATGAATTCCCAATTGGATAAATTTTATGGCAATAGCATTAAAAATTTTATTCAATAATAATATTTGTTCAATTACTTTGGTTTTTAACCAAATACTAATACTAGTTTGTATATCATCAAATTAAAAAAAAAAAAACTCACATATCCTAATGGCGTGCTAGAAACTCTCGCTTTCTGTCTCTCTTTCTCTATATAGAACAATTTGTATTATAAAAGAATTATTTTGACATTAAAATTTTATTAATTTTATTATGGGAATTTGCGTTTAAAAATAATGTTTGTACAATTAATTTCATTTATCACTTACACGTATCTTGCGTGGCCCATCAGAATCAACATAAATACCTTAGAAACTCTAAAAAAATCTGGAGTAAAAAGTTTAAGATTTAATATATACATAGATTCTGACGAAATTTCAGTGTTATTTTTTTTTAAATGAAAATTTAGTAAGTTAGTATTATTATTTTTTGAGAAATTTAAAATCTAGTCAGTAAAAATAATTAACAGGGGTGAGATCGTAAATTGGTGACCGAAAGGGTTCAAATTTAATTAAAATCTGAAACGACGTAATTGAAAAATGGTCTAGTGAGGGACGCAGCCCCCTCCGCAACAAGTGGGCACGGAGGAACACACAACAGTTCTTGTCATTGCACTGATACAGAGCGAGATTAAAATTAGAATAATAGGATTTTAATTCCAACTAGGAGGGTACGTGGAGTCCGCAAAACGGCTATATAAACTGACCACAAACTATCATTGCCGACACAGAAAACGCACAGCCCCTGGGAAACGAGAGCGAGAGCGAGAGAGAGAGAGAGAGAGAGAGAGTGAGGGGAAAAAATGGGAGGGTGGGCTATAGCGGTGCATGGTGGCGCTGGTGTCGACCCAAATCTCCCACAAGAGAGACAAGAGGAGGCCAAAAAACTGCTCACTCGCTGCCTTGATCTCGGCATCTCTGCCCTTCGTTCTAATCTCCCTGCTATTGATGTTGTCGAACTTGTCGTGCGTGATCCTTCTCTATCTGTTATAAATTTCTTACAATTTTGTTTTGGGTTTGATTTCTTACTATGAACAGGAAAAAACTGCACCATTATCAATCCCAGATTTTTGTTCTGTTTAATATATTCTTTGTATTTAAACATGCACGAAATTAATGTATATAGAAATGGTTGTGATTTGCACTCCATTCCAATTGATATCATTTTCTTCCTTTTTGTCTACATTAGTCTCTTCAGTACTATGCTTTCTTCTTGCCAGGGATGCCGACGCGGACCAACCGTGTTCTGTTTCTTAAAAAGACAGTAGTTTTGGTGGTTGTTTTGGGTTTCAAACCGTTAAAACATAGTTTGAGGACATGGTTATTTAATAATTAATCATTTTTTTCTTTTCTGATGTTGTTATTGTTACAGGTGAGAGAATTGGAAACGGATCCTTTGTTCAATTCTGGCCGTGGATCTGCGCTAACAGAGAATGGAACAGTGGAAATGGAAGCCAGCATAATGGACGGGCCCAAGAGAAGATGTGGTGCGGTATCAGGTTTAACCATGGTTAAAAACCCAGTCTCTCTTGCAAGACTTGTCATGGAGAAATCTCCTCATTCTTATCTTGCCTTTTCTGGCGCCGAGGAATTTGCCAGACAACAGGTATTTTCCCCTGTTTTAGCCTCGTAGTTAACGGCGATACTCCTTTATTAAGTCACGTGTGCAAGTACAGTGAAGAATGAGACCATGTCGGATTTCTTTCTCCAAACTAAAATATTTTTAAATCTTTATTTCTTAAATGAGGTGTTTTTAAAAATAATATCCAAACAAAGTTTTTTTTTTTTTTTTTGGCCCACATAAGATCTTTTTTTCATCTACGAAATAATTTCATTACAGTTAATGGTCTTCATCCTTTAATTTTTGCAAAGGAATTAGTTTATTGGTTTGAGAAAATATTTTGAAAGAGCAATTATTTTTTATAAACGTGATTAGAGAAATCAAATTTATGTTTTTAAGACTTCTGAGTCTTGGAGCATTAAGAGAATATGAAAGTAGAAGCAACACTGCTTCAGTGTTTAAGGAATACATAATTACACGACCCGTTCAATCTTTTTTATTCTTATTTTCCTAAAATATTTATCCTATCAATTTTTATACAATTTAAGAAAGGCATTGATTATTATGATATATCAGGTTTTATTTTTATTTTTATTTTCGTAAAATACCTACACTGTCGAATTTGTGTTTTATTTAAAAGAAAATGGAGATCATTAAGTCCTTTTAAAATCATTAAGGAATTCTAAATTTTCATTTAATATAAAGTTTATCCATATTTTCCTAAAATATCCATCCTGTCAATTTTTATACAGTTTTAAAAATACATTAATTATTATCATACATCAGTTTTTTTATTTTTATTTTCCCAAAATACCTATACCGTCAAATTTGAGTTTTATTAAAAAGAAACGAAAAGAAAAGAAAACGGAGATCATTTAGTCCTTTTAAAATCATCAAGGAATTCTAAATTTTCATTTAATAAAAAGTATTAAGGCATTTAGTCATGGGATGGTGATTTAACGTTGGGTTTGTTTAGGGTGTCGAGGTGGTGGGCAATGACTATTTTATAACGGAAGACAACGTGGGGATGTTGAAACTAGCGAAAGAAGCCAACTCCATCTTGGTACGTTGAATCCCTTTGATGGTTTTATTGATTGATATGGTGGGCCTATATATTGACTCTTGTTGTTGTACGTCCGAAACCAGTTTGATTACAGGATCCCAGCCGTTGGATTGGAAAGCTGCAGTGTGGGTGCTGCTGCTGACTGTCCCTTGGTAATGAACGGACTCCCAATCAGCGTGTACGCGCCAGAAACAGTTGGGTGTGTTGTTGTGGACGGCCAAGGAAGGTGTGCTGCTGCCACTTCAACAGGTGGGCTGATGAACAAAATGACAGGTCGTATTGGTGACTCACCCCTGATCGGTGCTGGGACCTACGCATGTGATCTCTGTGCGGTCTCTTGCACTGGAGAAGGGGAGGCGATCATACGTGGGACGCTAGCACGCGATGTGGCGGCAGTGATGGAGTACAAGGGATTAGGCTTGCAAGAAGCTGTGGATTTTGTTGTAAATGAGAGGCTTGATGAAGGGCAAGCTGGGTTGATAGCAGTGTCTAGAAATGGGGAAGTGGCGTGTCGTTTTAACACCAATGGGATGTTTAGGGCATCTGCCACTGAAGATGGGTTCATGGAAGTTGGTATTTGGGAATGAATTTTTGTTGTTAAAAAATGTATTATTAAGTCAGTGTTAGTATTTTGGTATTTTGGTTTTAAATAAATTAAAATCATTTAATAAAATCGCTCTTAAAAGTTAGGAAATTGTCAAACCCCGACTCAACATGATTATCAGTAGCCAAGAAAGATAGGATTTTTCGAGAAAAGTAAGGTAAATTTCCCAAGAAATGCGTAAATTTTCAAGAAAATTAACATAACGTGTCTCAAATTTGTTTTCTTGAATTAGGTGGAACCAAGCCTAATGTGGATCGAGCCTTTTGCGAAAAAATAAGGCAGTGAGCGTCTAAGCTTCTGATTTCATGAATTACGAGTTAGCCCGAGTCTAGTTTCTGCTATTAATTTTAACTTTCTGTCATCATCAAAAGCATCAAATTAGGAGCTCGCCGCGCTAGAGCTACTATTAATTTCACTCAATTTACCAACAAGTTACATTAAAAAAAAAAAAAAAAAAAACTCTGCAAATCGTTCAAACTCTAGAACACTGCCATCGGGTTCCAGATAAGATTTTTTTTTAAAAAAAATATCTGCATACAAACGTTAAGGTACGAACTAAAATTCCTAGAATACATACTTTATTTCTTAAATTTCTTTTTTCTACAACTGTTTCACACCCACAAATACAGGAATCATGGCAATATATATCATCATTTGGGGGGTTTGCTACTGGCGCCCATTATGGCATCCTTGGCAGACTTGAAGGTGTTAGTGAGTGCAGCAGCTACACTAGGAAAAATTCCACCTTCATTGCCAGAATCCCTCTTATTACGCTTAAGATGAATCACCCCCACCTTCTCCTTGGTGGGTTCGTCTTGCCCTGCTGGTGATCGGTGATCGACTGTCTCCACCTTGGTTTCAACGGAACCTTCTTCGTTTATCCTTTCTTTCCCCTGCAAAATATAATGAAATTAACAATATTTAAGTTCAATAAATCATCTGCCTGCTGATTGAAGTTAGATTTTGAAAAATTGACTCATTCAATACCTGTGTATTCATGTTGTAGGAGTTCCGAAATGTATATGACGCAACTATACCTTATTATCCTGCTTTTGTTCGCTCGAAATTATGATCTTGTGATCATAAATAATATTCTCCATTTCGCCTGGTTGTAGGAGGAATGAACGCGTGTTCTATGCGGTGGCATTACTGGCTTCTTCATGGCTGAAAATTGAAGGCAGGTGGACACGCCACATTTTTCAGTTTTCTTGGATGGAGCGGAGCTTATCTAAAAGCTAAAATGCTCTGTATAGCATATGCACTTTTGCTCTAGGAAAGGATAAATAATACCATCAATCTATTATCCCAATTTTCAGTGAGTTTCCTAACTAACTATTTCTCTAATTAAGTCCCCAATTCAATTGAAAGTTACCCATTTATCCCATCAGTCAATTAATTATGGTCCTAGACTTGGGTTAATTGGGTAACATCAAATTGTATTAGGGACTTGGTTGAAAGCATCATTTGTTAGGGACTTAATCAATAATGAGTTAATAGTTGAGGTCTCAAGTAGAGATGGCAATAGGTCGGATATAAAACGGATACCTATTTTATTCGGCTTAATAAATGTCTATTAAAAATATTCAATGGGTATTGCGTAGATAAAAATTAAAAAATAAATACTCACTAATATAATTTCAGGATATGAATGTTCATTATTTACTCTATTAATACCCACTAATTTATTTAAATTTTTTTAGTAGCATGTAGGGATCTAATTGTATAAAATACCCATACATTAAGGATGGATTTTTTTTTAAAAAAAACTTTGAAGATAAAAAAACTTATAAATAAATGACTGAAATGCAAACATTAAGTTTTAAGGACCAAAAAACTTCTTTTTAAAAAAAAATTATAAGGATTAAAATAAATATTTTTAATAAATTAAATCTATTAGGCATTAAATATGTATTAAATGAACGAGTAAACTAATATGGGATGGTTATAGACAAGGTAAAAATTTATATAAAGATTTTTTAATAAATAATGAATAAAATATTTTTTTATGCATAAAGTAAAAAATTGAATTAATAGGCTGAGTGCCGGTTAATTGCAATCCGAGCCTTGAGGGACATGTTCTAATTCTGAAATGTTTATCCTTTTCCTTCTCTTTTTTTTCTCGGATAATAATTTGCAACGTTCCTTTTGTTGTTCACCTAAATCTATAATCCGTGTATAAAATCACTAACTACTTAAAAAAAATTGTTAGACTATTTTATTCTTGACAGCATACTAAAACTTTACATTCCTTCGATATTAATATGTTATCACACCCCATCTTTTAAATAAAAAATATATTAACATATAGAGTAAATTTTTTATAATCTATTATAATATTAATTCTTAAAAAATAAGTTTTTAATAATACATAAAATCATCAATAACACATAATAAACTTTTTAAATATTGCCAAATCAATATAATACCTCATTGAAACTTTTTTTTGATGATCAAAACTCTAAAAATATTTTTAAAAAATCAAATTAAAATATTTTTTTTTAAATTTCGGAAATATTATAAAAAAATCACAAATAATATTATGCTAATGCTAATGTTATTGTCACACTAGCATGAATAAAGTCTCGTTTATTCTTAGGATATGCTTTAAGATTTTATTGAAAGCCGACTCCTATAGATAAAAGAGTTTACAAATACTACAATACCGATATAAATTATAATAGGAGAATACGTTATACTTTTGTAATGTTAAAATATAAACATCAGTGCCTGATATATAATGATTTATTAAATTATATCTTTTTATCATTTTTTTTCAAAAGTCTTTAATTATCGATACTAAATATTAATAATCAAAACGAAACTTAAAAAAAAATGTTATTGCAATATTTTGTTATAACTATTTTCATTTTATAATCAAAATTAAATTTATTTTAAATAAAAATTCAAATATTTTTTTATTTCTTAGTTAAAACAACTACTCATATGCATTGCGATGAAAATAATGGTTAGCTTTTATTCTTCTTTGCTTGTGAAAGGAAAAATATGAAAAAATTTCTTATAACAATATGAAAAAATATCGTTTCGTTTTATAATTATGATCACACAAAAGTTATGTAATAGTTTTAGCAATAAACATGCTGGAAGCTCTAGCCTCATAAGAAAGCATGTTTTTTTAAAAAAAAGATAAAAATAAAATCATCGAAGAGGTTTAAGGTGTTGCAAATTAGGAAAAAACAATACAAATAGCCCAAAGTAGAATGGTGTCTGGTTAGAATAAAGGCCCAAAAAAATTAACGCCAACTCTAGTCCCCACTCTTAAAAGTGAAAATTACCCCAGAAGGTCCCAATTCTCGGAGTCTTCCATGCCCACCAGCGCGTCCCGGCATCTGTTGAATTGTTAGTAGTTGTTACTTGGCATTATTTTCCCTTGTTCAATAGACCGAACTTCTCATAAATTGGAATTTGATCGAAGCTAACAAGGAAACAAAAGAAGCAGTGCTAGAACACAAGATTATTGCAAAACTTACAAGAGGCAGTATGACAATTTGAAACCATGAAAATGCACAAGCAATCAAACAGCAGTTCTGCAGTTTTAAACTTCTGAACATTTCAACATGACACCGAAGTACATAGAAATACAATTGTGACAAAAACCTGAAATGCTAAAGAAACCAATTGACGGCTACCGAAGCACAAAAAAAAATCTACAATGAAATATTAGCCTATTGGACTGAATAATCCAACACTAAAACTGATACAAAAATGATTGGTAGTTTGGGAAAAAAAAAACAGAAACAAAATCATCCTTGTACTATTATGATGCAATCCAAATTCCAGTAATCAAGAAATAAAAGAGTGCGATGCAAAAAAATAAGCTGTATTAGATTTATTGAATTAAAACGAGTTCTTCAAATATAATCAAACAATGAAATGAATCAAAGATTACACTGATTGTAAGAGTTTTGCAATCATTACAAGAAAATACAAAAGAAAAGGAAGAAGAACAGAGAGAATTCCAGAGAGAGAAAATCCAGAAGGAAAGAGAAACACAATTTTTTGCCTAAACATTACAAATGAGCCTCCCTCCTTTTATAACAGATTTTCCCTAAGCTAACCAATTCTCTAACAGATTCTTGCAACTATTCTGTAACAATCTAACTTCTCTCTAACAAACTCCAGTTCACATTTCCACAGCTCCCAGTGACACTGCAAAAGAGATGCCACGCAAGCATTATCATCTGATACAAGTCTTGCATGAGAAGCCTTCCACGTAATAGCTGACTCTCCTGTTATCGACTGAATCTTACAAAATAGTCCACAAGCAACTCGAACAATAACATATTAGCACGGTTTTCTTCAAAATTGGGCGTGGAACATACTTCAAGAATGATGGAATTGTGTGCATTACAGCTTAAGAAACACAAATTCTTCAATTGCTGGTATCTCCCCGATCCTCTGTAACGCTTCCTTGCTGGGTTCCTCATCCACTCCAATGGTCATTACTGCCTGTTTTCGTGGAGTGATCCTACCAACGCTCATGAAACTCACATTTACATTCTCCTCACCAAGTATATTCCCCACACTGCCAATCATACCCGGTTGATCAACCTGCCTGCACAGTATGAGGCTGCCTTCCATGCTCACGTCAACACCAAATGAACCTACCTTTGTAAGGTGGGGCTCCCCGTCTTTCACTCTTCCCTCAACTTTAATCTCACCAGAGTCAGAAATTGCAGTGGCAAATTTAGATTCCACATTGGCAATTTGAACCTGGATGAACTCAAGTGGATTTGCGGGTGAACCATCCAACAGAATGCGCTCTTCTGTTATCCTCAGTCCTCTCTGCTTAGCATTGAAGTCAGCATTTACTAAGTTTATAAAAACACCGGAGATAGGCTCAATCAGACCCTTGATAATCATCGCACGAAGCAGCCGAGTGTCAAGATCATCTGGACCTCTGGCAGAAGCATAGGTCACCTTAACTAATTGTACACCACTTCCACCAGCAACCAGTTGCACTGCCAGTCTGGCAAGCTTTTCTGACAGAGTAACAAAAGGTGCAAGTTCTGACAGGACCTGCAATGAACAAAAATAATCAGAGAAAGAAAAGATCTGATTCCCTATCTTACACTACATGCATAAACGTGAAGGGAGGGACCAAATCCTCCTCTACACCATGATCAAAAGCAGAGAGTTCACAATCCTTCAAGGCTTCAACTAATACATCGTATCCATAAACATTACAAAAACAAATGGTGGAAAGTTAGGACTTGAGCTATTTCCACCTCAGTTCATCAAAGGAATGCATAAAATATCTATAGCGCAATGTTTGTGAGGGGTTGGAGGTTTGAAAGAAACAATTACCTCAGCAGGAACCATTGGTGCATTTACCGCAGTTGCAGCAAGCTCCCCTTTCAAAGCTCCAACAACTGCTTCTGCTACTTCAATGGCTACACCTTCCTGATTGAATCTCATCACCATTAAGCAAGATAATAAAAACGAGAATTCAATAAAGTATAAGAAGAAGCCCAAACATATGGTCAAGCATACCTGAGCCTCTGTAGTGCTAGCACCAAGATGAGGAGTCACAGTCACATTTTCATGCAGCACCAACTTGCTGTCTTTTGGAGGGGGCTCTTCTGTAAAGACATCAAGTGCTGCCTGCCCAGATACTAAAATTATCGAGACTCAATGGCAAACAGGAATAAGGTAATAAGGACTTAGTGAAGAAAAACAGAACCTGAGCAACAATGCCAGAATTCAGAGCTCTTACTAGAGCTTCCTCATCTATCACTCCACCACGAGCAACATTGACAATTCGGATTCCTTTCTTCATCTGGGAGAAAGCCTCATCGTTGAACATTTTTGATGTAGCAGGGGTAAGAGGCATATGTAGGGAGATGAAATCTGCTGTCGATATAGCTTCTTCGAAAGTCACCAAATCCACACCTATAGCATGGGCACGGTCTGCAGGGGCATAAGGATCATGTGCAATCACATGCATGCCAAGACCCTTGGCACGCCGAGCAACTTCTGAACCAACTTTTCCAAACCCCATGACAGCAAGCGTTTTCTCCACAAGTGAAACCCCAACATATTTGCCTCTCTGCCACTTGCCTGGACAGATTGAAACTCACGAGACAATGAATTAACACGATTAATGTTAATGTAAAATGAGACATCTCCGAAAAATTTCAAATATTGGTTGATAACAGAGACCTTCCTTAAGCCATTGTTTGGAAATTACTTGACTATTGATGAACTATATGGTCAAAACACAACCAATTTGCTAAATGTCAACGATTTAGTGCTTATCAGAGGACAAGATTTGATTATACCAATTCTCTAGACAGAATATCATGTTCTGTTGAAATCACATTATCTTCCAAAATTTCACTAATCGTGCAGTCAAGTTTGCATGAGTAAAGCCATATTAATCATCACAACAGAAACATATTGAACAAAGAATTGAAACAACATGCTCCAGTAACGAACAAAATTCAACTTACAACAATAAAGCAAGCCACTTGCTCCGATAAATGACTAACTGAAGCATAAAAAGAACATAACTATGAAAGAAAGAAGAAGAAGAACAGACCAGATTTGATAGAGGCATCGGCTTGAGCAATATTCCTAGCCATAGCAGTAAGCAAAGCGATCCCATGCTCAGCAGCAGCAATCGTATTAGCCGTGGGTGCGTTTACCACCAAACACCCATGTTCCGTGGCAGCCGACAAGTCGACATTATCAATACCAACACCAGCCCGACCCACAACCTTAAGTCTGCCGCCTGACATTTCAAAAACCTCGCGGGTGACCTTAGTCCCACTTCTCACAATCAACGCATCACAAAGTGAAATCTTAGTACATAACTCTTCAGGGCTGAGGTTGTAAGAGCAGTCAACATTCGCATATGTTTTTAGTAGCTCGAGACCAGCTTCTCCAAGTTTTTCGGCTACGAGAACCGTGGGCTTGGGGTCAGAAAATACAGTGGCAAAAACGACAAATCTTTCGGCTTTTCTGTTTTGGCGTCGGGTAAAGTTGGCTGTTGTGAAAGGCGAAGGAAAAGAGAGTTTCCATGAGAGAGAATCTGGTTTTGTTGGAGTAAACATTAAGTTACAAGAAGATGTAGCCGCCATTTCAGGTTCCTCCTGCTCTTTGCCTCTGCCTGCTGTCTGTCCTGGAGTCCTGAAATCAAATGGAGGATTCCGTTGACTCTGTATGGTACAAGAACAATTGTTTGGGAAGTGGACGAATTAGTGCGTGTTTGATGGTATATGCGTTAGCGGCTATTGGTTAGCTTGGGGACTTAAATGCTGACAGGTCAGCAACATATCAACAAGAAGATTGGATGAGTAGGCAACAAGAAGATAGGATGAGTAGGCAACAACTTATTAACCACTGATTATTTATCTATTTAACAGTACTAACAAATCAGAATTAAACCCCTTGATTAGCATTTGTGTGTGTGTATATATATATATATATATTCCATTTTGTGGGATCCAAATGCAAACAGATTCATTTCAATGATCAGCTGATTTGCAATTAAGAATGTTGCTCAAGGACATATATATATCTTTCTGGTTGCTGTTTCCTTCTCAGTATCACCAACAACAACCTTGCCGCAAAGTGCTATGATCAAAATCTACTGCAAAATGCAAATTGGATGCGGTAGTCATTTTCTGTGAAGGACAACCAATTAGCAAAGGCTGTTTTAATTAAATCCCCTATCTTAACATATTTTCCCGCTAAATTTTTCTAGCTTGACCTTCTTCTTGTTGATTACAGTACTCTAGCGGTCAATGGAATTTTATTTTAAATTAAATAAATGAGTGTCGTTAGAAACCAATTTCTCTTAAATTTACTAATCTAAGCATAGATTGCGTGTGTTATTATTATTATTATTTTCCCAAGATAGTGGTTTTCATTGATAGAAAAGGAAAAAATAAAACCAACTATACACTCAAATTGAAGGCACTCCAAAGATTTCTATCCAATTGTGTTTAACAAACATGTGCTAGTAATGTAAACATGTCAGTTAAAAATTGAGTGAAAGTGTAGTTTAAATTAAAGGGATTGTGTTTAATAATTTGTTTAAAAATTGATTGAATTTAGATCAAATAGTTCATGGGACTAGAAAATTTTATCATTCATCTAATTTTATAGTTAATTTTTTGCAATTTGTTGGATGGATCTATTTATTGAAAAACTATCAGGTGAACTAAGTATATAACGTCATCTATAAAACTAGACCCGTGAATATAGGAACTTGGTGTTCAAAGATTTAATTGGTTTGCACATGGCAAGTACAACCTTTCAATCATAGCATACGGCCAAAAGAATCTACGAAGGCATGAGCCAACTTCAAACCAAGGTGTAGTTGGGACATGGTAGTGAGGTGCAGGTGACCTGTTTGGAGGGGCGATCCCTTGGCATCTATGCACTTAACATTAGGTCGTAGGTTGATTGCAAGTCGACCTTTTCTGACTCTCTAAGAATTTGCCTTCATCTGATGCAAGAGCTACCTGTAACCCAAAAAAGTTTAGTGCACGAGGACAAAATGCTTCTAAAGTGATCTTAAAGTTTTGTGAAGAACAGTATTCCGAGCAAGGATTATTGTTTCCAACTAGTCTCAGATGAATCTGTAGATATTTTGTGGGTTTTGTAGGCGAGTAGTGCTAGCTGATCTTTGAAACAGCATTTCGCAACGAGTTTTCTGAACAACATCTATCATGATCATTACCCTGTTAATGAACCTCCAAAAAAGATGACACCCGGTGGAAGACATTGTTTAGATAACTTGTTCGGGGAGTAACTTTACTTTTTGTACCCATATATTTTGCCTTTATGTACCAACGAAAAATCCAAACAAAATGTTCTTGAATTGACCTGTCGTTCACATGTTTTCCCTTTTCAAATTTTGAAACCGGTTGTTTAATCACACTACTACTTTTAAAATTTCTTATGACATCTGCAAGCCAAAAGGCGTCCAGATGATTTAATTGTTCTAAGAATATATTTAATTGACATGCTTGGATCAGAGAAATTCTCGTGAACAAAACCCATTAATACTGGAAAAAATGCCAACCCGATGGTTTATTTAACCTACTTTTCTAATTTTCTTAATCCAAGACGCATTATAATGTTACTGCTCTCATAGACAAGGCAGTCTTTCAGTCAAATGCGGCCTGAACCTAAAACTATCTATCTCTCCACCAGTGGAACTTAAAAAACTTAAATGGGCCCGAAATTCTCTTCGCCACCCCTTAACTTTTTTATTATTGAAGTATGCAATAAGTAAATTCTTTTATTTGAGTATTTAAAATTTGATTTTTTTTAGTGTCTATAATTATATGAGTTTAAAAAAATGCTGATATTTTCTAAATGAATTGTCTTATGGTAAAAAAATCTGTCTCACTTGAATTATTCAAAAAAAAAAAAACAATTTGTGTATCTAATATTTGATTTTTTTTTAAGTGTCCAATTTTTGTTTATTTTTTGTTTTGAGTTTTTTCATTCGTTTGAGATTGAAAAATACTAACATGACTAGAGTTCACTGATATGCAGCAGTTTTTAAGCTGACACATGATAAAAAAGAACTCTACTCAGATTTATTTAGAAAAAATAAAAAATATAAATATAAAAATTTAATGAATGGAAATAGTTGGCAAGAATTAAAAAAAAAAAAAAAACAAAATCAATTCACGTTAGTCGAATGAACTTCAATGGTTTAAATGATCCAAAATTAAGAATGAGGCAAAAATATATATATATATATATATATTTAGATGATATCTTAGAAATGTCTTAAAAAATTGGCTAGCAAACTTGCCAAGTTGATTTGGCTAACACTGATTGATTTAGATTTTTTTTTTTTAATTATCACTAGCTATTTTCTTTTATAAAAAATTAATAATTTTTTTATTTTCATCTTATGCCAGTTAATGATTGTCGTGGGTCAGTTGATTCTCATCTCCTCAATATTTTTCGGTCTCCAGTGACCGAGGTATAAGGGTACTCGTATGGGGAAAAAAGAAGAAGAAATCAAATGTGGGCACTTAAATTGCAATTTTCAGTAGAAGAAATTAGAATTTTTCTTTTTTCAATAATACAAGTGGGATCTATTTTTCAGCATGTGTTAGTTAAAATTTGTCAGTTGATAATTTAAAAACTATCATGTGAGAGTTAAAGATTACTTGTGTCAGTAAAGGTCATCGCTTGTTGATAGATCTTTATCACATCAATATTTGTCAATTTTAGGTGACTCAAAGAACTCATATAAAAAAAACTATTCAAATGTGGGCACTCTAATTGCGGTTTTCTCTAAAAGAAATTGTTTTTTTTTTCAAAAATTCAAATGGGACCTAATTTACACTGTATTTTAGTTAAAAATTATCACACGTCAATTTATTGACTCATAAATATTTTTTATTTTTAGGTGATTGTTAATACTCATATAGAAAAAACCACTAACATAGTATTTTGGCGTTGCCACAAATAAGGCGATAAAATATATTTTAATATTTTAATTAATTTAAAACTTTGAAGTTGTGAAATAAAAAGGAATCAATATTAATTGTGAAAACTTTTTAATTTAATATGTATTATGTAGTATTTAACTTTATGTATGTATTTATTTTTGAATTTAGATATATCTTATGAATATTCGTGTCTGATTTTTATAATAAAAAAACAAAATACATAATTAATTATTTGTTTAACAAAAAAATCAAATTAAACGAGTTAATAATCGAAGAAGGCAAAAATAGAAATGAATCAATATTATTTAGGAGTGGTATCATCTGTCTGCGCGCAGTGGCTAGTGTGCCACTTCCCAGATGAGTTTACCACTGAGTCGAAGTATTAATGGGTTCGGTCTACACTCCGGCGGGACATTCCCGTTCCGCTTTCCATGTTCGACGCCGCCCTTGCCGGCCATGTTACTTTGGCCAGCTAGGATAAAGATGTCCTTGGCAACGTTTGGCCGCTAAACAGTAATGGAACGTTAGCAACAGTTTATTAAGAGGCGATGGTTACTCTGAGAAGAGTGCCAATATTGCCTGCCGCTGTTGTTGCTTTCGAGCAAAAAGAAACCATTCTAATTAGAAATCCTGCTTGGTCGTGTAACTTGCTTAATTATTATATTAACAAGGATGCTATGAATAAACAAGCTTTTGGTCAGTTATATTGGTTAGAGGCAGGGAACATGATAGCTTCTCTCACCCATGATACTAAACTAGGATAGGATAGAGTTTTTTTTTTTAGATAAAACTTTAATTAAAAATACTTTTTATAATTCAACTATTATCAATATTCCTTCACTTTCAAGAGTTTAAGAGTTCGAACGTAACAAGAGAAAGAAAATGAGAGACTTTCTATAATAATTGAAAAGGTTTTCTTAAATTTACTGTAAATACAAACAAAATATTTTAATTTTGGAGGCCAAAACTAATTAAAAGCTTTTCCCAATTGCAATCTAGGTGGGATGTTGAGAGGCAAACAAATGAAAACAGAACCAGAAATCAAATTGTAAAGATCTATAACAGGATTTGAACCATATTTTATAGAAAAAAAAGTTATCAAATTCGTAACCCTTAAACTAAGGGTTTACACGTTTTCTTTTGATTTTATTAATCAAGAAAAAAAAGTGATATAATACAACTGTTAAACTAAGCGTTTATATGTTTTCTTTTGATTTTATTAATCAAGGAAAGAAGTACCATAATACGACTATCATGGAGACATTTTCCTAAAAGAAAAAAAGATACTAACCCAAATGAATTTTTATATATTTTTATTTTATTTTATTTTTAAAGAAAATTTGAGACAAAACTTAATACGATAAAAAAATTCAAAACGATTTAGATTATATAGAATATAAAAACTAGTAATGTGTTTTCAATAAGTTTTAAATTGACTCCATGTTGGACTATTTCAGCGAAAGATAAGTAGGACTTAATAATGCTTCTCTTGAATCTTTTGTAACTTGGGCTTCATGCCCTTGAGCCTTTTTACTTATGAAATATTCATTTTGTTTAATTAATGAAGTTTAAAGTTTTAGACAATAAAATCATTAGAATTGACGATGATAAGGTAAGAGAAACATTTAGTTTCAAATAAAAAGTAATTAGAAAAAAATCCAATCTAAATTTAAAAATTGAGAATTGATAACTAATTTTTAAATAAATTAAATTTCAATAAAGATCTGAAATAACTAAATTTAAATAAAATAATAAAAAATAAGATCCATAAGATTCAAATCAGTTGTCATTAGTTTATTTGTATTGGTACAACATAACCACAGGAACAACCATTGTTCAAATTATTTTTATTCACTTGTTTGAGGACGGTTAATTAATTAATCAGCTCAACTTTTGGGAGCTGAGATAAACACGGCAATTTTTTCAAATTGAAATACTTTATTGAACTTAAATACATATGCCCTTTGGCTTTACCATTATATTCTATCAGTTTCATTAGTCCCTGTAGTTGCAAGTTGCGTGTGTGTATATATATATATATATATATATATATGTATATATATATAAACAAACAAACTATGTAAAGGCTATAGCAACAGAACGAATCTCAATAATTGAACCATAAAAAAGTGGGACATAAAATTTGAGAATCTCCGTGGAGAATTACTGGTAATGTGAATTGGGTTATGCAAGGATTGAAGAAATGCATCAGCCAACGTCTCCCCCAGTTGAACCTGAGCCGGTGTGGTAAGGTGCAACTTATCGGGTTCCAGCGGAAGTCCCTTGGCGTCAACACATTGCACGCTAGGAAGCTTAATTCCCAATTGAGCGTTTCTCACAATCTTCACATATGGACCCTTCCCTGATGCCAGAGCCACCTACCAATTAACAGTTAACGCTATTAGCTTTTCAGTCAACTGTTGTTGCTTCAGAACTGGTGGCTGGTTATGCATACACACATTTTATTCTTTGTTTTTGTTGTTTGAGCATGCTGCCTTGTGGAAAAAAACAATCTTCATATTTTTTTTTCACACATCAAGTCAATGCCAAGATTTACGGGACTTGATTGCCATTGCAGATTTTTGTTCACACATCAAGTCAATGCCAAGATTTATGGGACTTGATTGCCATTGCAGATTTTTCTTTTTCCAGTTTAGATTCACATTTTAAAATGGTTGTACATGATGTTTAGAAGCAATTCAGTCATATATGTAAAACAATAGCCCATACCTGAATTATTGGTAACACTGGATACTCTAGATCAGCGCGGAGATCTGTGAAAAACTTGTCTAATCTCCCTTTATACGCATCAGCATCTTCTTTGATTTCGGTATCACTCTCCCCTTGATACCATAACATAGCTCTAATGACGCCACCATTTTGCAAGGCGGCCTGAGTCCTCCTCACCAATTGTTCATAAAGGAAACCTCCCTTTGCCCATTCACTTATTGTAGTCCCTCCAATTGCGCACGGTACTAAACCAATGGAACCAAAGTTAGGCACTTTCGTCAAGATTGCATTGGCAAATGACATCCCTGGTCCAACCCCGTTGGTCTTGTTATAATCAATATCGGCATGTAGAGGTTCATGAGCTTGGACCCATGTGAGGCTGGCACTTAGCCGGAGAATTGATGGGTTTGGTTGGCATTGAACAGGGACAATACCGTCCCATGAGGGGATGCCGCTCTTGGTGTCGTTGACTACGCCTCCACGACCGGCCATGTTGCTCTGTCCGGCTAAGATAAATATGTTTTGGGGCGGTTGTTGAGACATTGATAGCTTGCCTTGAGTTAGAAGAACCAAGAACAACAAGGAAAGCATCGTTAGGATCTCGCTTTGCGTTGAGATGTCGCAAGAGAGAGGGTCCTCTTTCTTTGTCTCGGCCTCACAGCTCGTTTTGAAAGCGAAAGTGGGTGCCTTTCTTTTAGTCTGGTAAATAATTAAAATAAAAATGGTTGTTGTTCAGGTACTACAGGGGTAGGATATTCTCATACATTTTTTAAGAAACTAGGCACGTGCAAGAATCATGGGAAAAACACGTCAAATATTAAGTAGAGAGTTGGTGCGTGGATTAGCATAGTCTTCTTCCCTTAAAAATTTTGCCCCATTCCCGCCGTGCCTTAGATTGCGCCCCCACTAATATCTAACAATATTAAATAATTAATCGGTACTTGAAAGTAAGACCTGTCCAATTGTAACTGATACCACGCAGTAATTTATCCTCGATCCATTCTAAGCGTTCGAGATGTTTCAGAGCTAAGCAATTTACAAATTATTGAAGCAGGCCTTTATTATTGTTGTTGTTGTTATTAGAAGGTTTAGAGGATCTCAGGCTTAAAAAAGAATAGGGATTTTGATATTGTACATCGAATCTAACAAAATATATCTAGTTGTGTAAATTGTCTTACCCCTTGTTTTGAAGTTTCTTCTTGTAAGGAAAGAAAACGAGAGGAAAGAAAATTATTTTCTATTTGTTGTTTGGATAAGAGTAGAAATGAAAGAAAAGAAAATATATTTCACTTGTTTGGATAATTGTAAAAAGAGAGATGAAAGAAAATATATTATTATATATTTACTATAATACCCATATGATTATATTTATATATTTAAATAATTATAATAAATTTGTATGAAATTTTTTTTCATGAAAATAGCACAAATGATAATAAAATAAAAATCTAGCATATAACATCTATCGAAATGACAAGATGGATAATTAATCGTCTCCATAGAATAATCGATAACTCGTTTACTAATTAATCAATTCAATAATCAATTTAGATTAATTATCAACATAAAATTAATTTAAATATGTATAACATGTATTATTATTTACGCATATAATAAGTTAATTGCTTTTATCCATCATTTTTTCAGATTTTTTATTCTATTTTAATTTCATAAAATTAATACAAAAAATAATTTAAGTATTAAATTGATACTAATCTAATAGTTTGCGAGTATATATGATGTTTCTACACTTTTATTTATTTCTTATGAACAACTGGACGTTTATAGTTCTATCTTGTTATTTTGGTTCTTGAGCTCACTATGACAATTTTTTTACTTTTATTTATTTATTTATTATTATTATTATATGTAAAAAGAGTCCTAACTTCGATGGTGTTTGATAAAATTGAAAATTAAGTATCTGAATTTTAAGTCCCGAATAATTAAGTATTAAATATGTTACTAACAAATTGTTTGATGTTTAATAAAAATTAAGTGTTGAATATAATAAGATCGCTTGATAAATATTAATGCTGAATATATTAAGGCTATGTACTTAACCATTTTAACCTTACAATTATAACATAATATTTTTTAAAATAAATAAATAAAAATATATATATATATATATATATATATATATATATATATATATATATATATATATGTATGTATAAATAAATATTCAATAAAAATAATTATTAATAAAAAAATAAAAGATCATCTAAGATAGTATTAATTGTTCTAAGGTGTAGATCAATTTTGGGTGTGGATGAATAAAAAATTCAAATCTATTTTGAAACCCAACACAAATTTTGTGTGGACGAATAAATACAAATTTCTCAAAAAACAAAACACATAAAAAACGTAAAACAAACAAAAATCAAACTCCTCTCCCCCTTGAAACCTCCCTCTCCTCCTCCCCTTTCGCTCTCTCCCTTCCTTCTCCATCGGGATCGCCACCCAAAACCAGCAAAAACCCAAAATTTTCAAAACCCCTAAATTGAATTGCCTGGAATCGAATCAACCATGTCAAAAGTCACAAACACGGATCCAGATGGCATAGTGTATGACATGGAAAAACTGGCCCAGAACCAAAGTCAAAGCATCTAAATGCTTTATCCCTTTAGCCTCATCAATCTCCCTTATTCTTCCACACCCAGAAATCCCAACACAAATTTTTTGCTTCTCCCAACAATTAATGTCAAATTTTTTTTTTATTAATAATTGTTCTGGGTGTGGACGAATTTTGGGCTGTTGTTAGAGGTTTGGGGCTGACGGCGAGTTCAAGTGAGGCTGTGGGAGAGACGGCAGTGTCAACGGTTAGCGCCCTTAGGTGTGACGACTGGTGAATGTTCGGGTGAAGGAGAAGAAAGAAACGGGTCGTGCTCGCTGATTTAGGTGTAGTGGTTTTTAGCTGGATGGCCTTCGGTGGCAACGAGAGAGGGCTGCAGTGGTGGCTGGTGGTGAGAGAGAAGATGGGTTTGATTGATTTTTTTGGTATTTTAGGAGATCACAAGTACAACCTCGCAAAAAATGCAAGAGAAGGATCTACCAGACGAATAACTAACAAATCAGAAGAGAAAGACAAATTTGAGAGGACACGTGCAGTTCCTTTTACACCAGGTTTAGTGAAGATTTCGGCTTTTTGGATGGAATTGAGAAATGGAGAGGGACGGATGAGGCAGATGAGATGAGGACAAAAATGACAATATACATATTTCATAGGTTCCCTCCCAATTTTGTTGTGATTTTTCCCCCAGTTTCCTCCCAATTTTGGGAGGAAAATGGGTCCCACCAAAAAGCTATTTATTTAATTTTTTTTTCTTTTCATTGATTTCTTCTCCAAACCAAACGACGGAAAAGGTTTCTTTCCTCTCTTCCACTTTCCTCTCTATCCAAACATGGGGTTAGATAATGCTTGCTGTTTGTTCAGTCAACCGGTAAACGAACCTCTTGCATAAGCAATTTGATAGTTTTATCAACAAATAAAGTTTTTTTTCCTCTACAACAAATAAAGTTTCTTTTTAGTTTCTGCTTCTGCTTTAATTATCTCTTACCATAATTAATGACAATATCAAGCGTTCAAGCGGAATAGCTATATTCTGTCGCTTGATCCATTTGATAGTCCAATCAAAGAACAAAGAAAATTTTCTTGTTCTTGTTTTCTTTTTGGCTTCTGTTTTAAGTTTTATATTAGCGTTGGCCGGTGGAAGATAGGGACAGAATAACCTGTCCAATATTAGTAAGTGAAACTACACAATGATTTATCCTATCTCCCATCTTTGATTCGCCTCTTGGTTATTGAACAAAAATGAGGGATAGATTATTCATATTTCTGGGCTTATATGTCCATTTATTGGGTTTGAGATTCATTTGAGCTTAAGAATTTTCAGACTCCAAATGACCTTGTATCTTAGCTGTTTTTTAAGAATGATATTGAAATCCTAAGCTCGAGGCAAAAATGAGATATAACTCACTTTGCCCTACGAGAATGATGGGAATAATCTCATGTGATCTTGTGGTCATGGCCTCTTGAAACAATAAGAGAAAGGACCTCGTTTTACCAACTCCAAGCATTAGACTTGGACTCACAGCGTTACTCTCCTTAATGTACTTTTTGGGTTGTTCAAACCCCAAAGGCCCATGCTACAACCAAGTAATCAACGAATCATCAGCCAGCTAGCAACTCAAATTTCATAAGTTTCCTTCTATTTACAGCATCCAAATCGAAATGCTATGGACGCATTTTGAACTGCAGCAGAAGACAAAATTTTGGAGAAGGAAATATATGGAGATTCATGCTCAACGAAGAAAACACTAACGTTGATTCATGTTGGTTTAACTGATCTTATGAGGGCCCATTAAATTTTTTTCTTTGTGGGCTAGATCTGTATCTTCATGGTCCATAGTTGACACCAAGACGAGTTTGGGCGGACTCAGCTATCCGTTAAATTTATTAATGAAAACCGGAATATAAAGAGATCATCCAATCGAGTCCAAACTTGAACCGGTTTATTCAAATTTTTTCAGACCGGGAACGGTCAACGTGTTAGTAAATGGACAGAGTCCGAAAATTAAAGTTTGACACACATGTTTTATTTAATAATTCAATGTCTTAATTATGTAGTTGAGAAATAAATCATTTGACCAACTTAACTATCAATATTCATTCGTCAAATAGAAAACAACCAAAACTCTATCAAAAGGCATATGATACATATATTTTTTTTAATATATAGATCTCATCCTAGCAAGAAATTGAACGTTTAACTTGGATCATAAAAATCTAAAGTCATATTTGGATCGATATTCAATTGTTGTAATTGTATTATCGATTTATTTTTTTCTTTCTGCGAAATCGAATGCAATATTTAAGAATTAATTCGTAAAAAAACAATAACTATCTTGCAATAATAACTAAATGAAAATTACATACATGTATAATAAAGATGGTTAGAATCTAAAAAAATCAAATAAGAGGTTAGGATTTTACGAAAATTTGAAAAAACCATAAAATTTAAAAAAAGCAAAAAAGTTAAGGTTTTAAAATATATATAAAAAAATCAATAAACTATGAAGGTGTTTTAGTAGAAATAACCTAAGAAAACTAGCAGCATCATTAAGAAAAATTGTTAAAAAAGATAAATTGCAAAGCACAAAGTTAGAGAATTTGAAAAATAAATTGCAAGAATTTATGTGCACTGATAGAGCTGGTAAAAAAATCACAATACATGAGTCTCTCTATTCGTGGAGCAATAATGACACTTAATAATCAAGTAAACTTAAAAGCTAATCTAGATTAATTAGAAATAAAATTGTTACTATACTAGTTTTTCCTAAACAAATAAGGATTTTATTTTAAAAAATTCAGAAAACAATTCACTCTCCCGCCGAATTTGACGTTGACTGAAAGAAAAAAGAGTCACGCGAAAATCGACCAACTATTTTTTTTATTTTTTGAATACTCAGATTTGGTAATTAAATTCCAAAAATCTTGTAATTTAGTATTATTATTTATAACTGATTAAAAATGTTTATTTTCAACGTTAATAAATTGAACCAACGAGTTAATCCTACCATGGTTAACGGTATGGCCCAAACCAGCCGTCTAGCCAATGTTGAGCTGTTATTATACCCCATCCCAACAAACAAATAAACACGTTCATTCTTTTTCTCACCCGCTAAGGTTGGTTCTATCTCTAATGGGTCAACCTGTCATATTATATTATTGGCCACCCTTTGACCCCATTGTCGTAGCCACCAAGGGAGTGAGCGGCTCCAGTCCAGCCCTCTTGACGTGATCCAAAATTGTTTGGTTTCTAAAGCCAAGACGCAACAAAATTCTAGAAGATCTACAGTTGCAAAATAGCAACTTTGAGGGGCAACCTAAAGACTTTTGTTGATTTCAGCAAATCGTTCGCTTAATTACCGTATTAAAATATCAGTAGTTGTATGATTAATAAAATCTAGGATGAACACAATGTTAGTTGTAATCCACTTGGTTGATTAATATATTGACTACATAATAATGATGTTCTATTAATAAGTCACAACATTAACAAATAATGATAACAAAGATTACTACAAGTGAAATACTGCTCGGGACTCAACCAGAGATTCCACTCTTCTCGGGCAAAGAGAAAACTTCTCTTGTTTGGACTATGACCAAACTTCTCTTGTTTGGTACATACCGCTTTGGCCTTTGTTTGGTGGATACCGCTTTGCTAAGGCCGTAAACAGTGTAACTACAGCTATGATTCGCCTTTTATAGTCAATGGTGTTGACGGCTCAATAGCATCTGAGATAAGTGGAGACAAATGACGTTTTACATCGACAAGTTGGATGACTTGAAAGAGCAAACCCAAAATCGATTCATCGAACTGTTTTTCTCCTCTTAATTTTCAGATGGTTCTGACTTTGTTTTGAGTGGCCAATTCCTAAATGGGCCCTTCTCACCTTTTTTATTTGGATTAAAAATTGAAGCACGAGAACCACGATTTAGCGCTCTAATTATTTTCTGCCACCCTGTCTAAGCTGTTTTGTCCTTATGTTTCTTTTTTTTTCCTGGGTGAATAACGTGGCGGTCTTATTGCCAAGCTAGCTAGTTCTCCCGGTTACCCAATATTGTTGTCTTGTCGTCGTCGCAGGTTAAATATATAAATGGGAAGTCGCCACCTATTTTTCTGTAGGTCAAAAAAAAAAAAATCTAGTATTAATGTTAAGAGTTTTAAATAAAAAAATGATTATAAAAATGAAAAATACTACAACCACTTTAATATATTGCGAGATCTTATCTTGTATTTTTAGCCCATAAGAATTCATTCATGCAAGACAACTTCTCACTTTAATTTGTGAATTCCATTATTTGAATCATTTTTTAACCAATTTTAAATAAGATGATTTGAAAACTCAACGGAGACTCAGTCTCTCACTTCAAATATCATTTAATCATTGGAGTCCATTGTGAAAGTAGACGTTAAGACTTAGAGTCTGTTGCAAATTAAACTCTAGTCCTACATAAAAAGCAAAAATAAAAATAAAATGAACATGGGTCATAGGCCCAAATTAACTTCTCAAAACATGAAATAAAAATAATTACAAACCCATGATAATAAAAAATAAACATAGACCTCAAGCCCATATCACCACATCACCTTAAAATATTAAATTAGATCGAATACCAAATTAAAAACTAAATCTACGAGACGAAGAAGTTATTAGCATTGCATAAATAAATTAAAATTTACTATAAACAATAAAAATAAAATAACAAGAAAAAGGTTCGTCATTTGAACAAAGTCAATTTTAGGTCTTAAACTTTTTCTATCTAGACTGACCTAAAAGAACACCTCATAAAATAAATGCACAAAATTACAAGACATAGAATTAAACACGTAAAAAAATCATAAATCACATAAAATAATACCATAAAAAATAAAATAGTCGATAGGCCTCCATAAAATCCCTAGCGCATCAATTTTGATTTAGCTTCTTTTAATTTTCTAAAAAAAATTACTAGTTTCATCATTGATCAACAATTCCTCGAGAGACTTTTTATATAGAAAATAAAAATAATATACAATATATCAAACCCTTAAATCCCTTTTTATTAAAAATAATAACCAATAAATAACAATAAAACTAAAGATAATAATACAATAAACTAAAAATCACAAAATTCTAAGCCAATAAGATTAAACTTAAGGACACAAATATCACACAAAATTTGAATTTAAATCCCTTTTAAATTTGTCAAAGATTGCAAAGTATAATAAGTTTTGATTTGTTTTTCAATTTCACCCTTTTAACTAAGATGTTTTAATCCCATGGTCATCCAAGTTCTATCTTACTCACATAAATGGCTTGAAAAGCATATTAATCAATCAAGTAATCATGCAACAAACAAAATTTGGATGATAATTAAATAAATAAATAAAAACATGTAGGGATGTAATTACAAAAATCAAAGTTTTGGTGATCAAACTGGATAAAAGTTCATCATTGCAAGGCGAAACTTTGGACAACAAGTGTGGCATCTTCGATGATTAGAATTGAACGATTCTCATGTGTTTGAAACCATGTTGGACATACGCTTCTTCTGATCTGATGCATGTCGATAGCCGATAAGCGGCAATCGAGTCTATGTGGCTGCTGTTTTATCTTATTTTTTTGGCCGCTAGGTTTTTTTCTTTTAAGAGACAGTATCTTCTCTCCCATTTTTTTGTGTGTGTAACTAAATACTTATAGGGTGTATTTAGCATTTGTTTAAGAAAATTTTCTATTTTGATTTGAGCTAGTTGGACTGGACAGCTAAGCTCGAGTCTAGCATGCCGAGGCTGTCCAGTCTTTTTTTTGCCCCCTCATTTTTTTTTTTAATTTTTATCTTTTTATTTTCTGATTTTTTTTATTTTTTGCATTCTAGTGGAGTAAAAATGTGACGATGACAATTATTATTATTCAGACACGAAGAGACGTTGATGATTTTGTTTCATCTAGGTTGTGTCATGAGAAAAAAATCAAATTAGTGATCAGTTCCTTCATAACAACCATACTCCCCGCCCATATCAATAATAAGAGAGTTTCAAAGTGCAGAAATTAATTGACATACCATGAGAGCGAATGTCTGAGTCTGTATGCAAAGACGGGATGCTGAAAATTGGACCAGCGTTATTTCATTGAAATATCTTCCTCTGCATCGGTGGGTGCATGGCAGGCCGTTAGAGGATGATGGTCCGGGATCATCAGGAGTCAAATTACATTACAATGAAATTGAGAGTCAATTCCGACCACATAGTTGAGGCAGAGAGAGCACTTTCGCCTCTGTCTACATAATTAACTACCCAATCTGATGTTTAAAGATTTTATGGATACCCCTCGGGCAAATTGCAGGTCAAGGAGTAAATTTATCCTAACAAATTGTTGTTTTCTTAACCATGTAAGAAATGACAGAGAACCATTGAACAAATAAAAACGTCAACGATTATTAAATTTTATTTGGACAACTTTATAATACTAAACTAAGTTTAATTCGATGTTAACCCACTGGTATTTTATTCTCTGCTAAGAGCTACACGCTTGTAGAGCAACAGTCGTTAAATATTACAGATGCTTTGGGACAATTAAATGATTCAAATTTCGAAGTAGTTCTTGAAATTGTCCCTTTTCACCCAGATTTGTCAGATGGCTTTGCTAAGAAGAATGATTTTCTGTTACTACCAGTCTAATATTTTCATTTGTTACAACGGAATAAGAATACATGTGAATTCTTTGAACATAATTTCTTTTCTTTTCCATACTTCTACGTTGGGGCAACAGAGAACACTTTTCGGTACAAACCAAAAGAGAACGAAATTTGAGGTTATTCTAGCAAAGTTAAATTCTATTTCAATTTTTGCTTTAGGTACGTTTGTTCCAAACTAAATTAAATGAAAATTTTGGACGCCATACCAAAAAAACCGAATGCTCACGATAAAAGCCGCTAGAACCAGATCAGATCATGTAGACAATCAGGGACTAAAACCAGGCACTTTAATATTGATCTTGTCCAGTTTGACCACCTGAGCCACCCCATGGATTAACCCAAAATTTCTTTATGTGGTTTAATTTGACTGCAGAATGTAAACGTAAGCATTTCTATTTTCTTGCATGAGAGAGGAAAAGAATACTACATTAAAAATTGTGTGTTGATGACTTCTCGGCCTCGAGTGTTTTTGAAAACAAAACTGGATGGATGGGACAATTAATCCAGAGAGAATACGGTAACTCTGAAGTTAGAAGTGAAAGCAGTAAAACAAAATAGTTGGTGTAAACAATCCGTACGAATAAGATACTACCACACGCTCTCCATGGGCGACGTCAGGTGCTCCTGATTCGCATCGTACGATGGATGCATGCAGCGGGAAATCATGGTTGGAGGACCCCACCCAACACCCTTTGCGAATCCCTAGAGTATGATTCTCTTGGAACTCGGGGTTAAATTAAGTGGGTTGTAGCTGGCATGCTATTGACGTGGCAGCAGATTTTCAAACGTTTGCAGTTAGGTCCGTTACAGTATTCGGTCCCATGGTGCCACGTCATCCAAAACCGACAAAACCAATCCATGTCCCACTTCTAACAGATCATACGTGGCACTGCAAGGTGCAGGATTAAGCGATCAGCTGTCGGAAGTTCAGTCATCCTCGAGTTGTCTACGTGTCTGTGCTGGGTTCCACACGATTTAATTGCCCAGCTGGGACGAAGAAATATAGGATTCTCAAGTCTCAATGCTTCTGGGGGCACCCCCAATAATTCAAGAGAGAGACGACATATATAAAGCCTCTGGCTGCAAGGGTTGGTAAAATTAACTGGAAAGCATTTAAGTTATGAAATCCTAATTAATCATACGAGGCATTTTAATTAATGTTTCAATCACTTTGCCGATGTAATTGTTTTTAATCTTTCAGGTAAACGATTTAATTGATTGGTACTTGCAATTCAATAATGTTAAGGTGTAAAACCAATAGCATTATGAAAATTTTCATCTGATTTATATTAGACAATATTATGAAGAGTACTACCCAACCGTACTACGATATTCATGCATGTTAAGTAGAATGGCAATTGGTCCGACATTCTTCAATTATGATTCTGAAAAAAAGAAAAATAAAAAGCCGCTGTTCCATTGTGTTTTTGACAAGTGTATATAGGGTCCTTTAAGATCGCTAAGCTTTGATGGTCGATGAGTAAAAGTTACACATGTCACCCCAGGCGGAGATCCACAAGGTGCACAGTCGATTAAATGTGTTAAAAAAACGTGATGTTGAGGGTCAGGGTTCATTCCCCTTTCAAGAACTAATGGATAGCTCAGGGAGCAGCGAAGTTACCTTGGCTCCATTTCTTTAGCCACAAATAACTTTTAAGAAAATTAATTTTTAAAAATTATTTTTTAATGTTTAATAATTATATAAAAAATTTATTAAAATATATAAATTAATATTTGTTTGATATAGAAAACTAAAATATAAAAACAAATTATGATTGCTACATCAACGAATTTTAAGAGAATTTTAACAAGTTATATTTACAATCTCACAATATAAAAATTGTTAAAAGTTTTCACATTCATAATAGTTTATGTATAACAATTTTAAAGTGTAAAAATAGTTTTTAAAAATATTAAAAATATTTATAATTAAAAAAATCAAATGTTTATAGAAATAAAGATAAAATTATTAAAAAATAATTTAATATATTTTAAATAAAAAATGAAACAGAAAAAATTGTTAAAATATATTAGAAGAGAAGTGAGTGATGCGAAAACGAAAAAAAATATATTTTTTTTCTTTTTAGTTTGAAAGTCACTATCTTAAAAATGATCTATTAATTTTTATTAATTAAAAATTAAATTAAGTTAATTTTTTAAAACGCGAAACGAATATTATAAAATAAAAAAAATGAAACAAACAAGTTGACTGAAATTTATTTTCTCTCAGACAAATAAAGCCTTCGACGCAAAACGCTCACCTCGAGTAAAGAGGAGTCCCAACCGTCTCCTTTCTAAGACCACAATGAACGTAAAACATTTAATAGAGATGCCATCCAAGATTGTTTTAGTCTCATCACCTCCAAATTTAATAATGATAGCGATATCAAAAAAAAGCAAAGCACATCATGAGTACAAATCACCATACTTAGCCTCATTTGGCATTAGAAAATATCGCATCAAGAATATGGATTTTCCTATCATCTCGACCACATAATCTATCACAATTTATCACGATCTCATCTACAAAAAAATCCCAATCACAAAAGATTTTCGATTCCCAATTTTCTACACAATTTTTTCAACATTAAAAAAAACCTTATTGTTCATTTTTTTTATATAACACACACAGAAACACCATTTCTACATCTTGATCAAGCCAATTGGATTCTCACACCACTGACTCGATTGTGTTAGAGGGCCTTTCGATATATCAGAAAAATTTATGTTTATCCTCAATTATATCGAAATGCACCGATGTGGTTCTTGAGGGCTAAAACTTCGGTTGTTGTTCTTCTCCCACATGTGCACAATCTTCCAGGACCTTTTTCTTCTCAGCGTCTTGTTATTATATTGTGGATTCAAATAAGGCACGCTGCCAATTGCTTTAAATTATAGAAACAAATATTTTCTCTTGATATATTTGGATCCACAGGTTTGCCTTTTGGGGACTGGAAATGGGAGCTTTGCTTTACCTTCGGTTATTTGCACTCTTAATAGTCTTATATTAAACCGATGGCTATACTTAAATCACGAGCTCTAGCAAGAGGAAACCTCTGCCAACTTTCCAAACCATGTGCCTCACTCAACTACCAAACGTTAACCTAAGATCCCTTAATATTCTTTCACTGTCAGATCAATCCGTAATTATCTGTACTTTTAAAAGGAGCATAGATTTTTTAACAGACTGATATTTTTTACCACTGTTTCATAAAAAAAAATTGTAGCACTGGCACATGGCAAAATTATAGGAATCCAAAGCGTTATAGTTGTTGCTGAAAGAAAAGCCTTAAGCATGCCCACACTTGGGACCATTCTCTGTTCAATGGTTGCTGTCCATATGGACCAGAACCAATGCTCATGATGCTCCGATACAATAAAGTGACCTAGGAGAGCATTGTAGGCTTGTTGATTTAGGATATTGATTGCATCAATATGAAACCAGATATTTGCTAGTTATGTAGACGGTATTAAACATTTGTTTTCAATAGTGAGGTGTTAAATTAACTGAACTTTTTGTTTTTACTCGTTGAACATGATACATTCTCGAACAGCTTGGTGGCCATTATGTGGACTGAGAAAGGTGGATGTGACGCAGCAAGAAGATAAATAGACAAGCCTCTGCGTTGAATTGATAAATACAACGAGCAAAATGACAGCTTATTAAAAAAGACATGAGGAGGAGATTTTAAATTTAGTATTTATTTTTAATATTTCATTTTTAGCGGCTGTCTCTATGTAAAACACTTCTTTAAAATAAGGTAGTTACTATTTAAGTTGAGTATTGCATATTTACGGAGACTTTTGTTTTTTTTGCTTTAAATCTGATATAAAATTAAAGTTTTTTCTACCGTTTGTTTTAGAGTTTCAAAACATAGACTTATCTCTTTTATCCTCTGTTTCACGGTTCAGTAACAGAAATTTATTTATCTGTCTTCTTGCTATGTCAAGATGGCCATCATACCAAACAATATTTGAATGAATTGTTTGCATAATTGCATGATTACATCAATATATGGAAGAGATTCAAAAAGTAATGCGGAATATCAATAATTAATGTTTCATTTAAAACGGGCATTGCATCAACTTGTTCAGTCAGCCATGAAAATATTAGGGTCGAGGGATTGGTTTCGTGGATAATGAAATATATTTCATTTTTTGACTCATTGGATTTAAATATTAGAATCAGAATCAAGGTAAATTTAATAGATTTTTCTAAATGCATCAAACACATATGGAGATGTGTATTTAAAGCTAGGGTGAGCAATCGGGTAAGTTGAATAAAAACTTGTCATTTCAAAGAATTTTTTGAATTATCCGATCCTTTTTTAATTATATTTTGGGTAACTAGAATTACCCTCATTTAATATATTAATATTGATATTCAAGCTAATTAGCATCTTATAGCATAAAGTATTGTAAATCCTTACAACTTTTGCGAAAGCACTCAAAATTTGAATTCTAACAATAATGTTTTCGTAAATGCTTTGGCGAGGATGTACGTATTGTACTAGATGAATTTAATTTTAGTTCTACATTTCCTTGGATTGTCGCAAAGAAAAACCAAGTGACACTCGAGGCTAAAAGGCATCAATCCAAAATCACAAAAACTCGGCGTTTATCGGCTACCACGTGAATTGCACTCGTGCGGAGGAGAAAGTCACGTGGAAGTACGGGTAAAGGACAGGGTTAGGTAAGAGGTGGGTGCGTGTGGGAAATGAGAGTGGTCATGTATGGTAGGGCGTAAAGAGTGCGGGTTTAAAGTTTAAACAGCTGTCTCCCGCAAAACGACTGCATGTTGAAGATAAGAACGCCCACTCTTTTTCCCTCTCTTTCCGCTTTCTGTTTTTGTTGCTTTTTTCTCTTTTCTTTTCCGTTTTTTCTGTTTCTTTTCTCTCCTTTTTTTTTTTATTTTCCCCCTCAACATGCAATCCCAAGCATCTGTGTGTGTGGGAAGTTCAACATGTTCGTCAATCGTCTTTTCTACCGAATAATTACCTACCTAATAATTGCTTTTATTGATGGACCTTTGTTCTGTGTTTTGTATTGTATTGTTATATAAAGGAGGACAGGGTCGCTCTTATTTCTGTAATACTCATTGCTCTTTAGCGCTTGTAATTTTTTCACGAAATAAAGCTTCAAAAGAAATTGGGAAGAGTGAAGGTTAAAGAATTAATATAATTTTTTTTAGGATAAATATGATATTAAAAAAAGTTGGGTTGTTATAGAATCGATTTTTTTTTTTTTTAATCAAAAGCTCATTGTAGATTCCCGATCTATCCTTTAAAATTAAAGAAATAGTAATACAATACACGGTCTACTTCCTGTTTTGTTTTCCTTGGGTACAAAACCCACAATATTTTGTTAACACTGTATCATTGCAGCATGAACAGGAGTTTGTTCTCATAATCATAGCCGTTGAGTGTGATTTAATTATATAGTTGGGAGTATTTTTCAGATTTGTTCAAAATAAAACAATTACGTACGGCAAGACAACTCGATTGATTGTATTACTGCAACATTATATCATTGTTATTGAATTGGATTTCATCTCATATGATTTTCTCAATAAGTAGTTCGTTGATTTTATATATAGTCAGCAAAATTGTGTTTTGTATAACTCAGATCTTATATCCTTATTGTGTTTAAACGATTCATTACGTTTGTTAACTTATCAAGCAAGCAAAATTATTTAAAAACATCTTGTTTTCACTTTTCTTCTCAATCGACTGGAAAGATCAAAGACTGGTTAACATACATTACCTAAAAAACTAAAACATCTTAGATAAAAGAATAGTAATTTAATGTTCATTTGAACGGTAATTTATTGTTCTGTAGATGTTGTTTTGTTTTGGTATTTAAAAATTTAAAATGAAAATGTTAACCCCAAAACTTATGCCCGACACATGTCTTTGCTTTTTTCTTTGCTTTTTTTTTTTTATCAATTTATGTTCATTTTTTTATTTAATTGGGCGTTCAAATTTTAAAAAATCAATTTTTTTATTTTTTTATCAATTTATGTTCTTTTTTTTTTAATTAGGTGTTCAAATTTTAAAAAATCAATCGTAATTTTTTTCCACACAAACCGACAATTATATAATATATCTTTTTATATTTTAAAATTAATATATACTTTAGCTTATATTACTCTTATTATTTAAATTTATAATTTTTTTTATGAAAATTCTCATCCAATTAATATTTTTTATATAAAATTTTATTTATTGATATTATATAATTTATTTTTCTCTATGTTTGAATTTTATAATAAAATTTTAAGACATGATTGTTTTTTTTAAAAAAATAAATTGATATGATAAATATCATGAATTCTTGAAATGTTTAAATGATGGCTGCATATATATATATATTAAAAGGTTAAAAGAGTATTTTAAATAATTTATTTCGGTTCACTAGATATGGTCAAGACGTATAAAAAAATTATTAAATTGATGATTTTACTAAAAATTAACCATATATCTTTCAACATAATACAAATTATTTACTATAAATATTTTTTTTTAACATTATAGAACCAATTTATTTAGAATAAAATAATTAAAATGATTTTTTAAAGGAACCAACCAATTATTCAAATACTGTTTTTTATGCCAATTTTATTGATTATTTTGTAAATAAGTATATATAGATCAAATGCATATACTTGAAAAAACAATCTTCTCACCAACATTAAATAAGAATAAAATTTTAATTTTTTATTGGTTAATTGTTATATAAGTTTATACATTAATTGTAATTTTATTTGTTGGATACATTCTTACAAAAAAATATAATTTTAAAGTTTTTTTAATCTTTAATTAATATTTCAGGTTTAAATTATTATAACTTTTTATTTAAGAATCCCCGAATAACAAAGAATAAGTCATGTTTTTTAAGCAAAAATTTTACGAAAAAACACACAAAAAATATAATAATTAAATAAAAAATTATAACATTTTGAAATAATTTTGTTTTATTTACCCGTAGCATTGCGCGAATAGTTTTAAAAATTAATCTTCTTGTCATCATTAAATAAAAAAAATTTTCATTTGTTAATTTTTGTAAAAGTTTTTTCATTAATTATAACTTTATTTTTTGGAATACAATATTGTGAAAATTATATTTTTATTTTTTTCAATTCTTGCTTAATGTTTTAGTTAAAATTATCATAATTTTTAATTTTAAAATTAATCCATAAAGAAGAATGATTTATGATTTTAAAAAAAAATTAAAAAAATGAGAAAAAAATAATTAAAAAATATCATAATTAAAAAAATTAAATTTTTTTTATTTTATCGGACCCATGATATAGCATGAGTAGCTAACTAGTAGTTTGCTATTGATGATTCTCAATAACCATGGATGACAACAAACATGTATTTGGTCTATTAATTTAATTTTTACCATGCCTATAAAAACAATACTCTATCACTAAGAAATCTCTTTATAAATCTTTACTCCATCTACATCATTTTACATGTTCATTTAGTACTCATTTAATACATACTAAAAATAATTTGTCAAAATATTTCATTTTGATCATTGTAATTTTTCAAAAAAGGTTTTTGGCTCCTTCATTTTTATTTATTTATTTATTATTATTATTATTTTGCATTTTTGTCATTTCTTTATGAGTTTTTTTGGTTCTCAAAGATTTTGGAAGAAATACTTTGGTCTTTAATGTTTACAGTTTATGTAACTAGATTTCTACATGTTAAAAAAGTCAAAATAAATTAGCAGATATTAATAAAATAATGAGTGAGTACCTTTGTCCCGAAACTATATTACAAGATATGCATTTTATTTTTTTTACTTCTACTCGCTTTAATATTAATTGGATATTTCTAATTGGTATTTATTAACAATAACCTGCTCAATTACTTTAATTTCTTCTTCAACACCATTTTTGAGATTCCATTTGTTTTGTTTTGAGAAAATCTTACGCAAATAAAACATTGTGAAAATACATTGCTAGCATAATAGATTGGTATAGTTTATGATTCCACAACATCAAGATTTTTCTGAAAATTAATTTTGAATTAAAACTTTAAAAACACTGTCAATCTCTCTATCACATTCAATCAAAAAAGAGTAAATCATAGTCCAAACCATTATTTACACTCTATTTTTTTCATCCATTCATAACATAAGCTCATTTATTATTAATTGGATCAATCAAGTATCTGTATTTTCAATTTTATTAAATTGGGTATAATTTTTCTAAATTTAAAAAATAAAATAAAAAATACTCAATATAAAACTTCGAATGAATGGTGATATTAATATAAATGAAAAAAAAGAGTTAATAATAACGCATTATTTAGTGAAGAAAAATACTCCATTGACTAAGATAGATTTTCAATTTTGAAAAAATAAACTTAACTATTTTAAATACAAAACGCACATATCGAATAGAATTGATTGATGATAGATGAATTTTTTTTTTAAAGGAATTGATAAAAAGGTAAAGTACAAATAATAAACTCAACCAAAATTATAACTTCTTGTAGTTTATCAAAATAAACTTAAATCAGCTTTTAATCCAAAAGTTAGCAAGACTATTCATACTCCAACTTTATTCCCATTTGGGTGTTTATAAGAATTAAAAAAAAAAAAACCGAAGAGTAACTATTGTATAGTTTCAATAGTTATTTCACAACTCACTTTAGAAAATAGATTGACATAAAAAAAAAAATAAGAGAGAATTACATCCAATCATATAGAAAGTGATAAAAATAATTCTATAATGATTCAATTTTTTTTTATCTCTCCCGTTTATCTTTCTCTTTGCATCTATCTTTTTCTTGTAAACTAAATATCGTTAGTTACTCCATGAGTAATATAAAATTTCTTGAATGACTCCCATTAGCCACTAACCTAGTAACATTGGATGTTATAAATCTACGTTGTTGTCATGGTTTACTTAATATTAAAAACCTTTTTTAACCATGGGGTCTCGTTGTTTATTTGTTTATTTTATCATAAGATGGTCTTTTTAATTTAGAATCCCTTGTATGCCCCGCATTTCAAATTTAGATAATAATAATCATAAATTTTAAGGTGTCGTTTGATTACGAGAAATAAAAATTTTAAAACAAGGATACAAAAAATAGAATTAAAATTAAGAAATCAAAATTAATATTTTCGATCCTCTATTGTGTTTTAGATAATAATAAAAAATCACAATGAAATTTAAATTTTTTAATATATGACTCGTCAAAATGGATAAAAATAATGTTTTAAAAAATAATTTCATAAATTATAATGGTATAAAAATGATAGAGATGATTGAGGTGACAATTATGATAGTGGTGGAGGAGGAGGAAGAAGTGGCGACGACGGTAATAGTGATATTAAGGTAGTAATAGCCATGATATATATTAAAAAATTGATGCCACCATCATAGAAAGTAATAATAAAAGAAAAATGATGGTGAAGATGGTATAATAAAAATGATGATGATAAAAATAATAATATTAGAATAATAACAATAACAACAACAAAATGAATACGTAGAAAATAAAAAATTAATTAATTTTTTATCACCGCCATCAATGATAGTGATGCTAGTGGTTGAGATAGTAGAAGTAATCGATATATAATAAATAAAAATAACACATCACTATTTTAAATGAAAAAAAATTATCATTATCATTTTTTGTTTTTATTTTGATCTCTCTCGACGCTATATTTAATTTTGATTTTGATTTTTACTTTGGTGGTTTTTTTTTTCAATCAAACACCTACAAACTAGAATAATTTTTTTACTTACACTCTCACTATTTCGCTATTTGTTACTAAATAAAACCTAAGTAATTAGCGTGGTTAAGTAGGTAAGTAGATATGTTGTATTCTTTGATTATAATAGTAATGGATACATAATAAATAAAAATAATATATTATTGTTTCGAAAACAAAAATATCTCATTTTCATTTGATGTTTTTATTTCCACTTCTCTCGATGCTATATTTAATTTTTATTTTCATTCTTGCTTTATTTCTCACAATCAAACACTCGTATTGTATCTAATTTTCATTTTCATTCTTACTCTATTTTTTTTAATGAAATACTTACAAAATAAGAGTATAATCCTTATTTTTATTCTCACCGTTTTATTTTTTGTTATCAAATAACACCTAAATACTTAGTATAGTTAAGGAGATATATTGTATTTCTTAATTTTTTAAATTTTATAGATATAAAAATTTATTAAATTATTTCTCATTTTGTTAAAAGATCGTTTTATGTAAAAGCTTAAACTCGTTAAATCAAATCTCAAAATATAATTTATATTATTCTCTATCGCATCCGTCCTTTGAGCTTACATAGGCCTAAGCTATTTTGTATTTAATTAATTACAAGAGAAACATAAGTAGTGAAATTTGAACTTAGAACCACATGATCAATCAAATTTTTTGTTATCAAATAACACCTAAATACTTAGTATAGTTAAGGAGGTATATAGTATTTCTTGATTATGGTTTTAAACTTTATAGATATAAAAATTTATTAAATTATTTCTCATTTTGTTAAAAGATCATTTTATTTAAAAGCTTAAACTATTAAATCAAATCTTAAAATATAATTTATATTATTCTTTACCCCATCCGCCCTTTGAGCTTGCATAGGCCTAGGTTATTTTGTACTTAATTAATTAGAAGAGAAACGAAGTAGTGAAATTTAAACTTAGAACCACATGATCAATTAAATTTTGATATCATTATGTTAAAAGATCATTTAATGAAAAAATTTAAACGATTAGGTGAGATTATAGAACATAATTTATATTATTTTTTAATACGTTTAATATAAGGAATATACTCTCAAGATCGAAAGAAAAAACTCATTCCGTATTAATATATATGTGATCCAAAAATATCTTTTATTGTTTGATTAAAAAATTAAAACCAAAATTGAAAGGAAGAAGGAAAAAGAAAATGAAGGACAAGATCTCGATATAATACACTCAACATGATTAAGAGGCAAAAAAACCTGTCTCATGATTCAAACTTAAAAGAAGGGAAATGGAGCAACTAGGGAAGCGTCCTAAAGGAGAGAGAATATTAAAGAGCAAACGAAGAGTAGTAACGCAAGCAAGTGACAGACGATGAAATCGGTTTTGGCAGTTCAGAAAGCAGAGGAGCGTGACTGGCACGTGGCAGTGGTGGGGGAGTAGGCCGTTAGAGGGTGGATAGAGAATGGGGCTACCATGACAGGCTGGACTGACAAGATTTTAGTACCGTTCATCCCCCGATTCTGCTTCTCAACTTTTGTCGTTTCCAGGCCAGCTCACCACTTCCGTGCGTCCTTTTCACCCCCTTCTCATTTCAAATCAATTTAAAAAAACAAAATCCCTTGACGTAAATGCTCTCCAGCCTGGCTCGGTCAAAGTCACCCCTTCCCTCCATTTGCCTTTTCTTTAAAAATAAAATAAAATAAATCTCATTATCAGATAAGAATCACATTCATATCTCCCTCTCTCTCTAATCTCTATCTTAATCCCCACGTTTGTTTCTTTTTTATTTCAAAATTTAACCTCTTTTTTATAACTTCTAAAACGGTCGCTCGACCTTTTTTAAATACCGATATTTTAGAGATTATATTGGTTTACCTTCCAAAACTATTTCTTTGTTTTAACTGATACAGCTAATAAATTTCGTTTTGACACATCAAGTCTAACTAATAACTATAATTCTAAAAAAAATATAAAAATAACAACAATTTCAAACTTTGAATTTTAATTCCTTAAGTAGCATGTTCATTTTTTTCTCTATATTATGGGCTCTATTTGTGTGAACTTGACGAGCCGCATACCGCAAACTGCAGACAAACAAGTAATTTCCTTTCTGAGTGCAATTGAGTGATAATATAATAATACGTGTAAGTTAGAGAAACTAAGAGATGACGCGTGTTAGTTGACAGCTGTTTACTAGTAACTGCCTTGCCAGGAAGAATCCCCACTCTCTAACGGCTATGACCGGTCATTATAACTGGCTTAACCAGTCATCCTTATTGCTCCCATATATATACTCCTCCCTGCTCCTTTCACTCCGTTCTTTCATACAAACCAAGGTGAGGCTCCGCCTACGCCACTCGAGAAAAAAAGTAAAAAAAAAAAAAAAGCCTACTCTCTTGATTCAATCGATTTCTTAATTCAGTTTCAATCTCGGATTTAATTTATCTCTAAATCAATAGATGGCTTCTACAAGAAAAGATGTTGATCGGATTAAAGGTCCATGGAGCCCCGAAGAAGATGAGGCGTTGCAGAGATTAGTCCAAACCTATGGACCACGAAACTGGTCTCTGATAAGCAAATCAATCCCCGGTCGATCTGGAAAATCATGCAGGTTGCGATGGTGCAACCAGCTATCCCCTGAGGTCGAGCACAGACCATTCAGTGCTGAAGAAGATGACACAATCATCAGGGCCCATGCTCGTTTCGGCAACAAATGGGCCACAATCGCTCGCCTTCTCATTGGACGCACCGATAACGCTATCAAAAACCACTGGAACTCAACCCTCAAGAGAAAATGCTCCTCTATGTCTGATGATCTAAACGACGACGCTCAACAGCAGCCTCTTAAAAGATCAGCAAGTCTCGGGGCGGGTTCGGGTCTATACTTGAACCCGAGCAGCCCATCTGGATCCGATTTGAGCGATTCAAGTATACCCGGTGTGAATTCATCTCCGGTTTACAGACCGCTAGCCAGAGCGGCCTCTCTTGTCCCACCAAGTTTGTCGATTGATGTGTCCTCTCCGACCGTAGATCCACCAACTTCATTATCTCTGTCGCTGCCTGGATCCAATACTTGTGACACTCCGGGTTCCGGGTTAGGATCCGGATCCCATGTTGTTAACCCGACACCTATTGTGCAAACACCTACTGCACCTCCACCAGCTGCAGTGGCTGTGCAGCAACAGGAGCAAGTTCCAGTGGTGCAACATAATGGTGAGTTTCGGTATGAGAGGCAGTTTTTCAGTCCCGAGTTTTTGGCAGTTATGCAAGAGATGATAAGGAAGGAAGTCAGGAACTATATGTCTGGGATTGAGCAAAATGGGCTGTGTGTGGGAACTGAGGCTATAAGGAACGCCGTGGTTAAACGAATTGGGATTAGCAGAATCGAGTAGCCAAACAGAAGAGAAGTGGTTTGGTTAGCAAGGATAATGATCATCGAGATGATGATGATGCAGCCGGGTTGTTGACTCGGCGAGAATCGGAGAGAGAATGAGAGGAGAGGATGGCAGAAAAGGAAGAGAAATCTGTTTTTTTTTTTTTTTTTTTTTAAGTTGCTTTAATCGTTGCTTTATACAGAAGTAATAATTTTGGTAGTGTACAGGGCAGTTTTCTCCACCAGAGAAGAAGAGGATCTCAGTTAAAAAAAAAAAAAAAAGTCTCCTTTGAATATAAACTTGGGGAAAAAAAATTGATCTCTCTATGGACTGTTTAATTTTTTTCCCTTCGTAATATAAATTCCTGATATTAAATTTAAAAGGCAAAAGAATGAAGAAAATTGGAATTAAATGAATAGTAGAGCAATTCAATTCATTTCAATTTAAAAGGCCAAGTTGGGTTTATAGTGAGGAACAGAAAGGACACAACCGTTTTTGTTTGTTTTTGTTTGGAAATGAAGAAGCAGAACCCCCTCTTTGATTGAATGATTTTGTTTGGTAGTTGGGTTGCTGGAAGAAAATGATTACAGTGCTGTACCTTCTCATTTAAGGCATGTGCAAAATGGGGATTAAATTGCATTTATCAAAAAAAGATAAAAAAAAAGAAAGTGTTTTGGAATTTTCGGTTGGACTTTTAGGTAGCCTTCACCAGGTTGCCTGCCTTGAAAGAATTGTTTTGCTGCTGCTCTGCTGGTTGGGATAAGAGAGAGAGATGAGTCTCTGCATAATTAAGGGTAAGAAAAACATTTGAAGATTCGGTGGATATATATATATATATATATATATAGAGAGAGAGAGAGAGAGAGAGAGAGAGAGAGAGCAGTTGGATGGTACTAACTACTAATTGAGGCTACTGCTTAAATGGGGTATGTTACAGTTCACTGTTTATTCAATTATTGTTTTCATTAAAGTATCCAGGTACAGAATTACAGATACTACTAAATTATATCCCAACGCTTTGAATGTCAATAACAATAATCCAGCTTATGTTCAACTTGTGTTAGTTAGTCTTGGACTGGAGAAGTAAATGACAAGAGGATGACCGATTCAAAATCTATTTTGATTTCAGAGAAATACCAAAATTAAAGGCTGGAAGTGAACTGTACGTTTTGTGATGAAAAGGCCTAGTCCAGCCTATCTCGTCTCAAACAGCTATTGCACGCTTCGGTTACTGTTTAGAGACCAGGAGCCGATTTAGTCCCACAACGGTGCTACCCTAAACTGTATCATAACTTTGCACGTGGCCTAATTGGGCCTGTTTGGATGCTACTAAAACTTTTCCTACTAGCTGACTCATAATATGTCTCCTCAACCCTTCAACTTTCCAGGTTTTGAACCTCTCAATTCGCCTCCTTATATTTATCCTAGCCCAACCCAGTTTCTTGCCGGTAGCTAATCAATTACATAAAGTAAGTAGGATTAAAGAAAGTATAATTTGAGATATTTTAACTTTCACTAACACTTATTTGTTAAATAAATGACCTGTCTTTTTATGCTGGTACATTATCCGGTTTTTTCTTTTCATAATAGTAATTTGTAACTAGTTTTACGCTGCAAGTCCATTCAAATATGCCAAATAGAAATATATATTTTTTCTATTTAAATTTTTTAAGGACATAATCGAATATTATATAACTATAGGGATTCAAATTAACTTTGGAGTCCATGCACCCCTTCACCGGAACCAAAAAAAAAAAAAAAAAAGCACTTAATATTGACAATCAATTTAAACCTAGAAAACATGGATACTCCAAAAAAATTCTCAGTATCCCTATTGAGTATGTATCAGTTGCAACAAAAAAACAAAAAATAAAAAATAAATTTAATTTTGAATATGTGGATAATAAGACAAAATAAGTGGGGGATACGGCTAGAATACGTGAAGATACTTATTTATGTTACATTTGTAATTTTTTGGGAAAAAAATCCAAATATAGTTTTAAGTTTTATGATAAAAAAAAACTAAACATTTAACTAAGCATAATCTTACCTCAATATTTTTTAATTAATTATTTCAAATTTATAAATTTTTTAAAACAATAAGAATTAATGCACCATTATGATTGATGGTATGATTATATTTTATATAATAGTTATTTGAATTAATACGTGAGCAACATAAATTTATTTATATAAACTTTATAACAAGACATGACGTCATCATTTTTATATTATTTTTTTTCATAAATGACAAATTAACGAAAGATTAGTAGCATTAATTAAATTTGAAAGTGAAAAAAAATGAAATTGTGATTGATACTTTTTTAATTATTATAATCCTTTTTCAAGATAAATTAATTTTTAGAAATCCAAAATTTATTTATAATTATATTATTAAAAATATGAGTTACATGAAATTCTTTCATATATTTTTACATGCGATTCATTATATTGATTTTTAGTACTGATTCTTATTTACTTTTACAATAATTTTTTTTGTATAATATATAAAAATAATTGAAAAATAAACGTATCTCTGGCATATCATTTCCTAAATTTTTTGAAGTTGCCGTATTGCCATATATATATTTTTTGGAGTTGCTGTATTGCTATATTAGTATCGTATGGCACCGTACCCATATCTCATATCCATGTCCATGCTTCATAAAACTCTGAGCATGATTGAAGGAACTTGCTCCGATTATTCTTCTTTCTCTTTTTGGTAAATACAGTAACCCAAAGACTGGCATAATTTGGCCTAAAGAAAGATTGTGTTCAATAACGTCCAGACCTCTGTACCAAGGACAAATAAGGCACCTTTCTTTATCGAGCAAGTTGGTCATCATCTTCCTGATTTTGCTTCTTGTTTCAGCATAACATCGGCTACTGCATGAGCCCAGTTAGCCTTGGTCATCACAGGAGAAGAGGACCTGGGATAAACAAGACGGTTTAAAAGTTGACAAGATCACAAGACTGCAGAACTTCAAGATTTCCTACTATTTTTATTTTTATGAATATGAGGCCCCAGTTGCAGGGTGCATTATCTGGGTCAAGGGCAGTGCACCTTGTACAACTTAGCGTCTCTTCCTCGCTAAAGTACTAATCGAAATGATAGAAAACGTGCAGATAAGTCTGGTCACAGACATCTAGAGCCATTCTAAGATACCATCCAAAGCCCAACCAGAACAAATTGATGCAACCATGCTGCCGCCATAATCCCAACCGTTTATGTAAGGAGAGAAATGATAAGAGAATACATGATTGAATTGGCTTTTAACAGCTCTGACATGTTAGTTCTGGTCTCTCCTCACAATTCCAACACTAACACTTTCTACTGCTAGGTAGTGAACGAGATTCATATGAAGTTGGGCACAATTTGCATACCTTGCAAGGCAAGATAGCTGAAGATAGTTGACACATACCTTTTGGACATTCATACTGGAAGTTTCAACTACTGGATTCTCACAAAAGGGTTCACAAGTGAATGACGTACACATGAATCTCAGAAATTTTTTAACATAGAAAGGGGATAGGCTAAAATGGTTCATCTGTAGTTGATGATGTATTATGTACAAACTGACATCCTTGGGCCCCCAGCCTAGTGATCTTGTTTGTTGGTACTTGCTTCAGAATCTTCTGGGACATGGTGCGTAGAGAGAAAAAATGCACTCTGATTCTTCTGTAGAAACCTGCATGACAATAGACATGATGAAAAAAGAAAAACATGAAACTTAAGTATCATAGACACCAATTATAAGAAATAAACTCCCACAAACATACACAAAGCAAACTGAGTAACTTCAGTTCTAGTAGTTCCGATGAGGTTCAACAGTTGGAAATACACACAACATCAAACTAAGTTAATTCTTCTGAAACTATTAGTTGGACTTAATTTTCGTTAAAATAATAGCCACAAGCCACAAAAAGATGACATGAGTTTGGAGTTCATTATTGTTAGTGAGTATTGAAGATGAAAAAAAAATGTATTGCAGACATTATGGTGCACAAAGTTATAGTTAGACTTCTAATCCAACCATGTTTTGCTCTTGAAATCAACCAGTATCTCGCCCAACTCAAACCCAAATAAAGGTAGTAAATACAGAACATAAGTCCAGCCAAAAGAATTATTAATGATGGGAGTTCCTACCTCAGAAAGTCAACAAATTTTTGGTGCAACTCTGTCAGTGTCTCTTTGTCAATGTTTGCGTGGACCAATAACTCAGGCAGCTTAACTGAAAATGCCACAAAGAGAATATTAGCACTATACGTTGTGATGGATAGCTAGAGCATTTCAGCATCTGTATTTCCTTAAATGTCAGCACCACCATGCTTTACTTCTCAAGGCTCGTGTACCACCATGCTTTACCTCTCAAGGCTTGTGTACAGAAAAATGTTTTAAGTACTATCAAAACCAGTGTTGCATATAATTGGATGCTACATCTATTGCCTGAAGACAAGGTTCTGGCTCACTGATTTAAAAAAAAATTGTGAACAAAGGAAACAGAACTCAGTTTTCAAAGCTCTTTTTGATAACTTAAAAAAACCGCAATTTAATTTTTCCCAAGGCAAAGAGTAAACATACCAAAAAGGCGTAATAGATGCTCAGCACCATATACCATTGAGGGAGAAACATTCTCTCTAATTGCATCAGCATACTGTTGGCGCTCACTTTTATACAGAAGCATGACTGGCAAGGCTTTGTCAAAGTAACAACATAAACCTTTCATAATTTCGGCAGTTGATTCAGGTATCCTACATACACCAAATCATAAAACCTAAGAACATTAACAATACAGATAAAAAATACTAGAACTTAATGGTACTTCCTTTATTGATAATCAAAATTCTAAACAACCTCCCTTCTCCCCAGGCCAGCAGGGAAAGAAAAAAAGGTTTCCAAATATTTATCAAAATATTTATTTTTTACTAACTGGTGCCTGCTAAATCTTATAACTTAAAAAGTAGCTGTCACCAAGGGTATAATAAAAAGTTGACAAAAGAGCAGGTTCTGTACTTACATGACATCTTTGTTCGATCTATACTCACAATACTTCGTACATATGTCTTGGACATTTGGAGTACGAGGAAGTTTCACAAGCTGCAAGAAAAGAGATTAATGAAATCCATTAAATTTGTCATTAAAGTTAGCTCTTTAGTAAAACACACAGAAATATCAATGGTAAGCTAATCATCAGAATAATAACATAATTATGCCAGTATTGCAATCATATCTTTATTGCCTATGCTTTCAAACAATTTGAAATCCAAAACAGCCAGTCAGCAATACTGCTTGATTAGTTATAACTGAACAGACAAATAAGTAAAGCAGACATGGAAAAGATGACGAAAGCAAAAGGCAAAAGATTGGCAGCAAGTCAAAGACAAAGAAATGTAGCAGTGGTGTACTAACAACAGATAGTTTTACAAAATATTTAAATCTGAGAAACCAGCTGCGAAGAAGGACAATAATTACCTTGCTCCGATGAGTGATAAATTCACAATCATCAACAAGCTGTTTCTTTAGAGTTGGTGGAATTTGGAGATTCACCAGCTTTTCCAAGGGTACAGCATCATTTTCCTAACAGTCAAAACAACAGATTAAGCAAAAAAGATGCCAAAAGATCAAGGTAAAACCTCTAAACATTATTTTTTTCAAAAATCTTAGTTGATTCAATTTTTAAGATAAGGTATATGCTTAGATTGACATGGGCAAACCAAAAGTGCATTAGGCTTCAATAAACTGGAGCGTACCTTATTAAGAGAGTCATTTTTCCGCTTCCTGCCCCTTGAAACTGCATATATGTCCCCAGAACAGCTTTAAGAAAAAGCCAGTTCAAAGAATTACCAAAAAGAATCTTGCAATCAACAATTAGAAGTTTTTGTTTTACATGTAAGATTAAAGTAAGGTTAGTGGAGGTTCTCCTGCATTAAAAAAGATTACTTTAGTCATGGTAAATTAAGACAACTTTTCCCTTCTATGCCGGCCCTAAGAAAACCAAATTATCTATTTTGAAAACACACCATGAATCAGAATCCAAATTAAATAGATTTAATAATAAAGCATGGCATGCTATTAACTTGTGTCAAGATCGAGGGACTGTTTGAATTGCTTTGCAACTTGCAATACTTGTTTTGATCTCAACCATCAAGTTTCATCTCAATAAGGCTGAAGTTGCATGTATCTCCAACATAAGATCTTACAGAGATTACAGCGCACCAAATTCTAGAACAATGAACTTCCATGTATGATGCAGAGGATAAGAGATAAGCGACACCATCTGCAATTCTAGAAACTAGACAGAAAACTAGAACAATCAACTTCCATGCACATTATCCAAGAATACAAGAGGATGGGAAGTAATCCATTTACTGATCTATTTATCCTGAATATTTTTTTATTCTATACAGTATCACAGATCCTATACGTTACTAGATTTTATCACCAATTTCTGAATAACGTTAATAATGTTAAGTATTCACACTATCACATAATCATACTTGTGTATATCAAAGTTTCAAAATACACTATGCATTACTAAATCTAGTGTGAGAATCATACTAACCACCGGAATTTTTCGGTTTCATTTGTGGTGCCTGTACTGCCTTTGTTTTCTGTTCCATTTCCAATTGTTCTTTGAGGGCTTTCTGCTTCTGCACATTCTCTTCAGTATGCTTCAGCAAACGATCCATGCCAACCCATTCGTCCCAACTGTTCACAAACAGAAGTTCAAGAAATGACAAATGACCAGAGTGTTTAACTAGCAGAGTAAACAATAAACAAATGAGAAAAGCTTGAGCATATCATCCCCCACCTAAACAGCTAAATTAAAAAGATAATTCAATTGGGTCATCAGCACCAGCCAATAAACATTCCAAAATTTTCAAGCAAAAAGACACATTTCAGTTCAGAAATTAAACTGGATGTTAAAATCCAAAAACCTAAATGTGTACCATATACGAGACATTAGAGCAGGGTTGTTTCAAAATCATAAAAACATAAAAGAAGACCAGTATGAAGGATTAGCATTTGTGAAGAAACACTCTCTGCCGCCATTTCAGTAAATTCCTTCAGCTCTTAAGTAGAAGGAAAAGAGAAAAACAATGCTTTAGGAATTTAAGTTGTAAGAAAGTAATTCATCTGAGAATAAAAATGCAGGAAGCTTTCGAAGAATCAGAATTAGCGAACTGAGCAAATATATAGTCCCAACAAACAACAACCTGCCTAACTCCCTCAAAACTAAACCCAAGTTTCAGTTAAATAGAAGATGCCACTCACGTTTTGTTCCACCCCTGCAAAACACATCACATTATGCAATTAAAACACTTCAAAGAAAAAGAAAAGGCAAGTGAATGCAGAAATAAACGTAAAATAAAACAATTTGGCAGTTGATACTTACTGTGTAATGAACAAAAAAACCCCAATTGCTTTCTTCATATAAAGCTCTTATCACCTATTACAGAATTATTCAAATTACTTTCGATTTTATTAAAATAAAAAAGAACAAAAAGACTCAACCTTTTCCATATTATTTGTTATAATTACCTTGGCTTCATAATATTGTCCAGAGTGAGAAGCGAGGACCTTTTCACCGTTTTCAAATACAGATGGAGGGTGCGAAGATGGACATTCCTCGTCGGTTTCGGTTCTCACGTCTGAGTCTGTCTCGGTGTTCGACTCATCTGATACGGTGGCTGAGTCATCATCGTTGTTTAATCCAGTGTCTGAGCTTACCATTTTGGTTGGTCAACCTGATGATCAGGTTCTTCCTGTTTTTTTTTTTTTTTCCTTTTTTGGAATTTCAAAAGTGAGATTTTTGGTTTTGCTTTGCAAGCTAATGGCAATGGAGGTTTTTGTGAAAGAGCGGATAAAGAAGTTGTAGTTCGGGAAGTGGAAGGGTACGTGGGCTCGTTGAAATTACGCTAAAACCCAAAGTTAGTCTGAGCCAGGTGAATAGGCCTGGGCCAAGCAGTCAATAAATATAGCCCGTCACTTCAAATATATGATGAATGATCAGGAATTTTAGGGCCTGGGTCATATTACAAAAACCTGGTAGGCTTATTATCCATGGTGGATTTCCCCTGCTAATCATCATTATTTCCAAGTTTCTTTTTTGAAAAAAAAAAAGGGGGGTTCATGCTATATTGATTAAAGTATAAAATTGTTGATGCTGGGTGAGATACGCTTGATCTTTTGTGGTGCATAGAGGACTTATTTCATATATACTGGAATGGAAATACATATTGGTTTAAGTTAAGTCTGTCAACTCAATTATACAATAAAATTTATATAGGTATGAAAAAGCACAAAAAAAAGGACTCAATTATGCACTAAATGATAAAAATATGACATTAGAAACAATTAATAGCTTCGCATTAAGATATGCGATTTTGGTTGTGTTATATTTCTATTAGTTTAATTTACGGATCAATTGGAAGACCAAATCAACACAATATTATTAATTATACGAGGAAAGATATATGCAAAATAATCCAAATGCAAAAAAAAAAAAAAAAAAAGGTATCAGAAATATTCCAACACAAATAAGATTAGAAGAACCTCTTGGAAGGGTAGAAATGATCAGTTGGAATGCATGATAACAAGGCAAATTCACACACACCATTTTTCTGCTTCTTTTTGCATGGCATGTATATAATATAGGACTTCGATTGGATTTTTTTTCTTAACAACTTACGTCGGGACTTCAATTGGATTTTCTTCTCAAAGATAGTCCCAGCCAAAATTGGACTAATTAAGAAGGACAAGTATGCAGGCAAACAAAAATTTAAGGAGGACAAATACCTAAATCACACACATAACAACGTTAACCATTAAGCGTTGTCGTTCTTGGAGTCCGGTTAAAGTGTTGATTTTGACTGTCAAAGCTTTGAACAGCAAAGTACAAAACAGAAAGGAAGCACCAAGTTTCGTTGCAGTCCACAGCAGTTTGAAGCCGTCCCACCGCCTTGAGTTTGTTCGTATTCAATTTTCAAACTATTCAGGAAAATATAGTCCAGCGTTCTCTTTTTTACTTCGGGTATTCTTTTGTTTGCTTTTTGATAGCCTCCATTATTAAACCGCATAATTATGATTCATAGCATTAACACACGATTCCTCAAAATATATGACTTGTGCGTGTTGGTTGTGCATATATAGGAATATGTAGGATGACCTAATATCTCATATTCAGCTAGACATTATTAGATATATAAGGAGTTATCCTCCACTTTCTAACAAAAATATGTGGTCCATTATAAAAACAATTTGAGTTTCATGTTTTTGTAAGAAGTATAGTTTTTGATATATTAAATAATTTAGTTGTAGACACATTAATCCATATCATGTTGGAACTTGTCCATATTATATATGGAACCTCTTTTTGTTTTATGCATGACAAATGCACTCCAAAAATATCATCAAAAGTTGATGTAGGTGGCCATGCAGATTTTGTAAGTTATGGACTCAGGTGCTCATGGTTAAAGCTAGCTCCTCCCTGATGAATGCAACTGATGTAATAAGGTCAACCATGGGAAGAAATTAAGTGATTATTGGAAGGGATTGATAGGTAGCCATGTGATTAATGTATTTGCATCAATAGGTACCTTTTCCCTTTCTTAATTGTAAGCACCTCATTAATATCCCTTTTCAACTTACGCACAGAGACATTATGGATCACCGAAGAACATATGTTTGGACATGATCTGAAAATCTTTATGATGTTCGGTAGTCAATTGTAAACTAGCCGATCATGAGATCGAGTTGCCTAAAATTCCTATTAATTAGTAAATGGGACAAGGTTTTCTTTAGTCAGTTTAATCATGCATGGCTGGAAAAATTAAAGATCGTGTCTGTGCTCGTACGAGAGAGAATATGGAAGAAAGCTTCATTAGACATTCATAATCAGATACTAACAATACAGCATAACATTGTTCTGTCTTGAATGGTTCTTCGACATATATATGACCACATATCACTCTCTGAATATAAAGAAATGATTGGTACCACTTGATAAGGTACGTTTTACACCGTAAATATTGAAAATAAATGAACGAAGAAAGGAATGAATGAATTGCTATATATATAGCTAGCAAGCTACAAAGATTAAAAGAATAATGCACAGCAAGAGTTCTGGCTCAATATTATATCAGTGCCCCTCACCAGGGCTAGGACCATCCTGTGTTTCTCTAGCGTGGACATTCTTGAACGCATGGCCCCTCCGTCCGTCGCTTGGGCCGCTGTATTTAATCTCTTCAATGTGCAATCCATCAGCGAATATTGTACCGATCCCTTTGTTTATAAAGCCATGTGACTCCACCATGTTGAGAGGACGAGCCTCTGAGATGATCAAAAGCACAGAGCTTACAAAGAGAAGCCCGACGAAGAAGGTTGAAGACATGAAAAGTACTCTTGCCATTGGATGGTGCAATAAGATATTTCTTGTTGTTGACAATGTTTGTAAGTATTGTAAAGAGAAATGTTTGTTTTTTTTCAAGTACAGAACTGATTAACTTGGTATCCTATTTATAGGGACTGCAAGTCTGCCACAGAAGGCCTTGCAATTTCACTAGGGAAAAACAGAGGAAATGCCCCTGGAAAACACGTGGTGCATTAGAGAGAATTTTAGTTGCCGTCGCCTGAATTTCTACCATTTTCCTGAAAGGAAGGACTACGTCAGTCTGTAGGCGTGTCCTGGGAGAATCAATACATTGTATAATAACTGCAAAAAAGAAAAAACATAAAAAATGTAAGCCCCACAAGGAACTTTGTCCGCAATCAATTTTTACTCTCCTCTGTTGCTTTCTAACAATAGAAGGGTTCTCACTAAGTGGGCAAAAAAAAAAGGGCTGCTGGGACTAAGTCCAATTACAGGTGCAGGTGGAACACAGGTCATGAATCAATCCATTATCGATTACTGTTTGGCGTATATGTATATATGTACGTCTGTGAGAGTTTTAGGGTCATTCATTTCTTCACATTCTTCCAAGAGATTTAAACTTCGAATCTCTTTTTTATGTTAGAAAAAGATTTAACTAAAAGTTAGTAACAACTATTTTTCTAAATTGGATTTCCAAATATGGTGTTTTCTAATGTGTATATAAGACTCTGGTGTTATGAAATATTAAAATAAAATAATTTTATATATTTTGTTTGGCTTGAAGCACGGTGCTGATAAAAATATTAGTTTTTCCTATAAATAGACAGTGGTGTCCTTATGCTCTCACTTGCACTACTTGTTGTTTTTTACTGTAGCAAACTTTCAAAGAGTTTACTAGTGGGTTGGTGGTTGTCCGGTTATTTTCAAAGAGACTGTTGCTGTAAAAACATTTCCGGGCGAACTCTTCTTTCCAAACATGGGAAATTTTGGTGGATTGACATTTTTGAGAGATAAATGTTATGGAAGTTTTTCTTCTCTAGTGAACCCTCAGAGTTTTGATAGGTACACCCACTTGTTTTTCTTATTTTTGGTTTGGTTGAAAATGATATATTTAGAGAGGACGAGAGATGAATCTAGGATTATTCCTAATAGTAGAAGAGCAAATCCTAATGTTGATATGGTGAATTCTTTTAAGAATCTACAAGGGTCGATATCTTTCTTTATAGAGGTAAATCCCATTGAATTTTCTGAAAAACTGTAACTGTTTTTTCTCGTCATTTAAGATGCGATTACCTTCTAATCATTCCTAATCGAAATGATAGAATAGGAAGGACCAGAACTGGAGCCATGGAAGGGAACATAGAGATTATTGTTCTCATTTATATAATTGATTACAACTATAAATTTTCTCTGTTCAGGTTGGTGGAGGAGGTTTTCTACGATTTTGACGTAAGTGCTAGCCAACTTCATCTGAATGGAAAGACTGTTCTATCTATTTGAAAACTTCTATCAGCATTTCGAGGCTACTCTGATTTTGAAGCTTTTTCTATTTTCTCATTTCTTGGTAGAGGGTATCAGAGAGGGGAGTACGAGGCTTCATATTTATACTTTCTTAGACAAAAATATAGATACACTAAAAAGGTGTTTGTGGGGATTACTCACCTGACTAACAATTGGAGAGAGGAGTGGCTCGTTATTAGGTATAAAGGCTCTGTCTCTACGGGTAAAGGTTTGTCGATTTAGGGTGTATTCCTTTTTGGAGAAGACTTAAAGACGATTGTAATGCTATCCCGGTCCAATCTAGTGTTGACCTAGCTTTCTGAGAATGGGTGAAGAGCATGAGTGGCAAGTATGGAGTCAATTTTCTTGTTTGTAGTTGTCGTTAACCCATGGCCTTTAATTGGTGAAGTGCCTGAAGAAGAGCCTGCCTGACCCAGGTGAGTTTAGGATGAAGCCTAACTAGGGAGTCTAACAATGGTGTGATCCTAGAGGGAGACATTGACGGTGCGGATCATTCATTCCTCCTTTGAGGCCCACAATGATGAGGAGAACAGGGATAGGTAGGACCCAAGCCCCTATAAGGAAGAAAAGAAAGACATTGTTATTCTCTTAGATTGAGTGCTTCGTCGATCTAAAATTTAGAGCATTTGCCCACTCCTGAACCTATGGCCTACGCTGTTTTTTTTTTATCAGCAAGGGCAGTAGATCCTTTCTTAGTAGGGGAGACTGCTTCCTAGAGTAAAGGGTTTTTCTCTATTTGGAGGAGGTTGTTCAGTCTCAAGGCACTCGGATAAGGAGGCTGATATGGGTCCTTCTAATGCATCAGGACTAGGGTCCATTCCTCCCCTCTCCTTACTAGAGGAGTTTCATTAATTACTCTGTGTCTGCGTGCGTGATGGTGGTTTGGGGGGGGGGGGGGTGTTTTGGGGGGTTGTTGTTGTGTGTGTGTGTGTGTGTTTGTGTGTGTGGTGGGGGTGGGGTGGGATGTGTTGACATTTAAGTTCACACACACTGTTTCTTTTCAGCTTTTTTAGCAGTTCAGTTCGAATTTTTCCAAGACATCTAATTCTTATAAGATATGGTTTGTTTTAGCAAGGTATGATGTGAAGCTCTAATTAATTCCATTTTAGGTAGAAATAGGAGAGATCTTGGACATATGAGTAGTGAACAACCAATAATCTGACATTTAAATTTTTAGAACATAGGAAGATAATATCCAATCCATCCGATTATGTTGGACTAATGGCTATTTTGATCGTTACATAATGAATCTCATTAGATTCTTCAACTATGCAAATTCATATAACAAAGATTAGTACATGGTTTTGTTAATTTTAAAAACAAATAGAATAAAACATATCACCGCATAATTATGTTGGATTAGTGGCTATTAGAAACGTTACATATGAATTTCATTACATTCTTGAACTATACGAATTCATAATATAATAAATAGTGCCCGGTTTTGTTAATTTCAGAAATAGATAAAACACAAAATGTCACAGCATATGCTAAATATTGTTATTTTGCATTAATTATTACATCAAAATTGATAAATCAAATAAAAGACAAATCTCTTATAATTGAAATTAATTTGGATTATTACATCACAATTGATAAATCAAATAAATAACAAATATCTTTTAATTGAAATAGACATACAGCAGGAAAAAAACAGTACCAGCGCTTGCTACTGTTCACTCAGTTTCCCGGACCACCATTTGATGGGCCAGAGTTGATGACGGGTCCAAGGGTTTGCGCATTAGTATGCTTATTACCAATTCCACCGTGACTAGGACCCGATTTGATCCCATCAATGTAATATCCATCAAAGACGAGCTCAAACCCCTCGTTTATGGAGCCATGAGCTCCTGCGACATTTAGAGGACGAGCTTCTGAAATGAAAAATGAAGAGCTTACAACAAGAAGTAGAAGAAGAATATTGTTAATCATGAGGCTAAAAGACTTGAAACTTCCGGCCATGGATATGCTAAATTCTTGAAAGGCTAAACAATGACAACGGAGTTGTTTAGTTGAGAGAGATCGTAATGTGGAAATATTTTGTGTTGGTGCAATGGTGCTCCCTCTCTTCCCATATATATATACAGGCAAAGATCACCAATTTGCATGCGATCATGTTTGACTTGGGAGAAAAATCAGAAAGTGAGCATTTAAAAACATGGTGGATTGGGGTTGTCAAGGGCCGCCACCTTTATTAAGCCTTTGATAGATCAGCAAGGATGTAATAATGCACACAACAAATCAAAAGATACCATAAAGGCACTTTGCACACAACTTATGGCCCCTACTTGTTCAAAAAATTTCTTTGTTTTTTAAACGTATTGTTCGAGTTCCAGTAACTTAGAATTCTTTTGCGAGTTCATTTTACTCCAATCGTCTGGCCTTGCGTCAGCATGAATCACCAAATTGCAATTATATAGATTGCTGGATCGATTTGGCCAATTTACACTCGCCTCCTTTGGTTCTTGTAGGGAAAGTTCGTTTTCAATGAAAGTAGCTAGTTCCTTCCGTTCCACTTTCGGTGGCGAGCGGTAAAGTTTAAAAGTTTCTTTAAGTGAATGTCAAGGATTCAATTCCTAGTTTTACTCTTAAGATTATATCATAGTTCAACCGGACTATAAAAAATAGTAGTTTTTCAATCTCTTCTTTTTTCATGAATGGGTGTTTAATATAATAGTAATTAAAAAGAGAGAGATATTTTAAATTCTTATTATTCAATTATTTCCATTCGTATGGAATCAAATAACTACCTAATACGTATTTGACTAATCATAAACTATTCATGTATGAAGGAAAATCCTAATTATTGATTTGAATTCAATAATATGAAATTTATAAACATGATGTATGATTGCAAAAATATGAAAGTTTAGAATTTATTAACGAAAGTCCAAAATATAAAAAAAAAAAAAACAAAAGAAAAAACAATGAGAAAAACAGTACTGTTCAAATTACTTTCAAGTTACTAATTGATGAGACAAGGATGAATTAATAAATTAAAAAAAAATTGTATTCCTCCAAAATCCACAGGTACAAATTAATTAGTTAAGTTAAAAAGGGATAATATAAGTTTTACGATAAAATAAGTAAACAATCTACAATTAGTTAATATGTCTGATTATAACACTGTGAATCATGAATTTTATTCATCAAGGTAATAAAGTTTCTAATGAACATAATTTTTAAAAAGCCTTAATATCCCCCTAGTTTATTATACTTTTATATTTTCTCAATTTATAACATTAATTATCATATTTTTAAAATTTCTCTACATATTTATTTTAATGTTTATCCATATACTTCATTTGACTATACGGTAAACTAGTTTTTTTGCCCGCATTACGCTACGGGTTGAATAAAATATATAAAATTGTTTAGAAAAATCATTTTAGTTTGATAGTCTATTTTATGGTGTGAATTTATAAAAATATATGAAATCAAATGTGTAAAAAATTATTTAATAAAAAATTTTGTATTTAACTATTTCTTATTTGTGTTTTTCATAATTTTTCCTTTAGAAAAAGGATTCATCCTTGTTAATCTATGGATTATTAACTAAAAAGAAAATTAAATAATTTTTTTAAAAAAAGCTTTAGTATTTCATAAGATTGTGTCAAAAAACATAAATAACAATTATCAAAAGCTTATATAGAATTGAACAAATAATTTTTTTTATTTAATGTTAATGAGAATATCAATTTTTGAAAAAATGTGAATTTAATTTTATATATTTATTTACAAAAGAATGAATAATATTAAAATAAAAACTATATATTAATTTGAACCATTGAGTGGTTAAGCCAAAACATTATTTTAATTATCTAATTTAAAATAAGTTAACTTTAAAATATTCAAAAACAAATAAATAAATAGTAAAAACTTAGTGTAGTAGCAGTTGCACAGTTGATTTCTAAAAACACAACGATTCAATATTTTTTTATACATCATAATTGTACTAAACGAGTTTTTAGTTTTTAGTTAAAAAAAATACTATAAAAAGTTAATTTGTAAGGAATATATTGACTAAATTTAAAATTAATAGACTAAAATAAAAATTATTACAAATTTGATTTTGAATAATTTTGATTATATAAAGAAGGAAAAAAATTAATAAAACATGTGAATTCTTTTTCTTTTTTTCCTCCTTCCTAAATATTTTTTTATTTCTATACTATACATGGCTAGTCCTTGAAATATAGCCCTCATGCACAAAGCAACCATCTTTTTTTTATTTTTTATATTTGAATTTCAACTATTAATTAATTAATTTGAGTTTTTTTCTAAAAAAACAGAGAAAAAAATTATTTGAAATACACTTTTAATCTAAAAATTTATTTTAAAAAAATTATATATATTAATCATTCCACTATAATTTAAAAGTTAAAAGTTATCTAAATCTATTTTTCAAAAGAAAAACTAATCATGTTCTAAAAATTTATTCCAAAACTTATACATATAGAAAAATAAATCAAAACCGTAAGTAAATATAATTTTCAATTAATTGGATGAGAATTTAAAAAATAAATGACAGATTAAAGTAGTAAATTTTAAATAACAAAAATAATTAACAAAAAAAACTAAAACAAAATGGGATGAAATCACAATATAATAAAAGTTTGAAATTGAAAAAAAAAGAAGAGAATTTAAAAAAATGATAAATTAATGTAGTAAATTTTAAATAATAAAACAATTGAGAAAATTTTTTTTGAAAAACACTTTTAATCTAAAAATGTATTTTAGACAAATTATATAGATTAATAATGCCACTATAATTTAAAAGTATCTAAATCTATTTTTTAAAAAAATAATAATCATGCTCTAAAAATTTATTCAAAATTCATACATATAGAATAATATATCAAAATTATTAGCAAATATAATTTTAAATTGATTAGATAAGAATTTTAAAAAATAAAAAATTAAAGTAGTAAATTTAAAATAATAAAAATAATTAACAAAAAATACTAAAAAAAGGGACGAAATCACAATATAATCACATTTTTAAATTGAAAAACAAAATGACAAATTAATGTAGTAAATTTTAAATAATATACAAAACTGAGAAACAATTATTTGAAATACACTTTTAATCTAAAAATGTATTTTAGATAAATTATATATATTAAACATGCCACTATAATGTAAAAATGATCTAAATCTATTTTTCAAAAGAAAAAATAATCATGTTCCAAAATTTTATTACCAAATCCATACATATAGAAAAATAAATAAAAAATATTAGTAAATATAATTTTAAATTAATTGAATGAGAATTTAAAAAAAATGACAAATTAAAATAGTAAATTTTAAATAATAAAAATAATCAACAAAAATACTAAAATAAAATGGGATCAAATCACAATATAATTAATGTTTGAAATTGAAAAAAGAAAAAGAAACGACAAATTAAAGTGTAAATTTTAAATAATAAAAATAATTAATAGAAAAAACTAAAACAAAATGAGATCAAATCATAATATAATTAAAGTTTGAAATTAAAAAAAAAGTTTAAAAAATTTGAGGACCAAAGTGTTAAAAAATTGACATGAATAGTGAAAGGAATATCAATTTGTGAAATAATATAAAAAACTGAGAAAAAATTATTTGAAATACACTTTCAATCTAAAATGTATTTTAGATAAATTATATATAATAATTATGCCACTATAATGTAAAAATGATCTAAATCTATTTTTCAAAGGAAAAAGAAATCATGTTCTAAAATTTTATTACTAAATCCATACATATAAAAAAATAAATAAAAAATATTCGTAAATATAATTTTAAATTAATGGAATGAGAATTTAAAAAAAAAGAAAAATTAAAATAGTAAATTTTAAATAATAAAAATAATCAACAAAAACTTTAAAATAAAATGGGATCAAATCACAATATAATTAAAGTTTGAAATTGAAAAAAAAAAAGAAGAAGAGAATTTAGAAAAATGACAAATTAAAGTAGTAAATTTTAAATAATAAAAATAATTAACAAATTAAAGTTTGAAAATGAAAAAAAAAAAGAGAATTTAAAAAATGATAAATTAAAGAGTAAATTTTAAATAATAAAAATAATTAACGAGAAAACACTAAAACAAAATGAGACCAAATCACAATATAATTAAAATTAAAAATTAAAAAAAAATTTAGAAAATTTGAGGACTAAAGTGTTAAAAAATTGACATGAATAGTGAAAGATATAGTGGTTTGTGAGCATATGAATAGTGTTTCAAATAGTGAAATGAATGGTAAAAGTATGTTTTACTTTAGTTTGTTTTATAATTTCATTTTATTCTTCTAATCAAATATATTGGATGTAGTAATTTCTTTTCAAAAATACTTTTTCTATCAATTGCCCTCTTGGTATTTTATTTATTTATCAATAGGATTCTTTTTATCTGTCTCCATTATAAAAACTAACAAAAAACTTTTTTTGATTTTGTAAACTTCAATTTTCTTTGAGAAGAGGAAGTGAAGCTAGAAGACAACGGAGAGTAGGTGTAAAGGTTTTTCCTAAAAGTATAGATAGTTTATCAAATTAACTCCATAAAAAAAAAATTCATATAATTAATTTTAAAATATAAAATTTGATTTTAAAAGTAAATTCACTTGAAAAATACAAGTCTAAGTTCAGTTAAGCTTCAACCAAATAATTTTTTTCTACACATGTGTTTCATATAATTTAATTTATAAAAAGACATACAAAATGTCAGTTTGCTGGATAAGCTAATTCTTATAGATTGAAAAATAATAAAAATATATATCAGTAAAAAAGTGTATAAGAAATGTCGTATTGATTCAAAATTGAACTAGCTAAATTTTAGTATTTAATTAAGTATTGGCAATTAAGATCTAGCCATCCAAAAATTTTAAAAGATTTAGATTAAAAAAATGATAAATCATGAATATATTGTAGATAGATTGTGTTATCTTTTCTTGAATACTACAAGTAAATATAATAAAATTCATTTAGGCCATGTATTATATTTACAATTTACAACATATGCCTAAGTTTATTTATTTATTAAAAAAAGGGAGGCTTGAATTCGAAATCTTTTGATGAAATGAAGACATTAATACTCATTGGCCAAGCATAAGTTAAATCAATAGATTAAATAAATGACGAATTTCTTACAATTGTTCAAAGAGGTTCTTGAATTAAAACACTAGTAGTACATGGCCGTAATGAAACACTCAGTTTCCTGGACCTCTTGGGGATGGAACAGGCTCCTTGATTTGTCGTAAACTTTGAGGAGCACTAGTTCCTTGAACAGAACTTGGACTGAAGCGCTTGATTCCTCCAAGGTTTTATGCATTAGTGTCTTTATTACCAATATTTCTTCCATTGCTTGGACCCAATTTAATCCCTTGAGTTTAAAATCCATCAAAGACAAGCCCTTGTTTACAGAGCCATGACCCCCCCGTAACACTTAGAGGACGAGCTTCTTAAAAGAAAATCGAGAGCTAACAAAAGAAGTATTAGAAAGACAACATTAACTAGCCATGGAACGATAGGACTTGAATGCTAAATTTTTTGAGGCTTAAAAATGACGGAGGAGTTGCTTAGTTAAGACCTGAGTGAGATTGTAACTTTGAAAACTTTTGAGTTATAGTTGCATTGGTGCAATGGGCGCTTCCCTCTCATCCCATATATATATATATATATATATAGAGAGAGAGAGAGAGAGAGAGAGAGATAGATTGCCCATTTGCATGCAATAATGTTCGACTTAGGAGAATTAACGAGAGGATGCACTTTTAAAAACGCAGTGGATATTAATTAGCCCTGTGTCGCCAGCTCACCACGTTAGTCTTTGATGGATCAGGAAAAAAGAATGTATCATCATAACAAATCAAAGAACCCATAAAGGCACTATTCAAGCATAATCTGTGCTTGTGGGTTTCTTATAATTTTGCATCAGAGTTTCCCAGTATTATAATTTCAAGCAGTACCTAAAAAGGCATTACAGTGTGTAGTTTATGCAGAGACCATTACTTTATTTTTTCCGTCTCTTCTGGAACGAGTAGGGGACCAAACCTCGGGCCAAAAGGGTGATGGAACCGAGTATAAAATTAATGTACACAATCGCCAATCTTGTTTTTCAACCTAGGTGGGCATGCGCGTATGCAAAATATCTGTTTTAAATAGCTTAAATTCTTTTCGGAGTTCGTTTTATTCAAATCCTGCGGGCTTGCTTAAGCTTGAACAGACCATCAAATTACAACTAGACTTCCAAATCAATTTGGCTAATTCCCATTTCCCTCCTTCCGTCGTTCATGGAAATATCATTTGGATATCTGGGATGTTGTTCATATATTTTATGTTGGTCACAGGGAGATGAAAACGAAACAATAGCTAGCTAATGGTAGTGTTTGAATGTTAAGAGTATGATTCGAGTCCGAGGCTCCACTTCCTCTCAGCACCAAAAATATAAATGTCCATTTATAAACGTAAATATGATAATTAAATGGTTTTAGGATTGACTACAAAATTTTTGATTTAAGTCCATTGAATTCTCAAGTTAATCAATTTCTATACATACAAATATGTTTGATAAACAAATGAGACTAGTTCATTTATTTATTTTTTAAAGGATGGGCTGAGAATCGCACCATCTTCAGTAGGCCTGTTCCCAACACCCACCCACCCACCCCACAAACTCTTTTTGATGAAGCTGGAGCTCTGTAGTGGAACTTACAATACGGGCCTAACTCAACACTCAAGGGCCTCTTAAGTACTGACTTGTGCATTTATTTACGTTTTAACGTTAACACTTAACAAGCCTGTAACACATTACTGTGAAAATATGGTTCCTTTTCTTTTCACCAAAAACTAATTAAAATATATAACCAAAAAAAAAAAAAACTAATTAAAATAATAAATTTAAACGTTTGTTTCCTCTGGTGACATCTGTGTTTGGACAAAACACTTGTGGATAAAAAATCGTGGTAATAAAATAAACTGTTTATCTAACCATGTGGCAAATTAAGCAAAATAAACCGAGGATTGCTCCATTATTAGGTGAATTTTGGAATTTCTCAATTGGCCCTCAGGCGCATACTAAAAGACGAGTGTCGGAAGAAAAAAAATTAATAAATAAATAAAAGACAAGAAGAAGAAGATCCCCTTCAGTGAATGGGTTAAATCCTGTGAGTTTCGGTAAGGAAACTTGCAATTCTGTATTTCTGCTCTGTTAAGTAGGCCTGCGTCCAAGCAATGGAAATTTCTACTTGTAGTGTCTGATTAAATGTACAAGATCAACCCTTTAAAAAAAAATTAATAAAATAAACAAAAGCCTGTTAGATCCAGTTTTAGAGAATCATTCATTATCTTTTTCTTGTGGCTTTCAGGGTTAATTCCATCACCATCAAAGTGGGTAAAAATCATATTGCTAAATAATGGATCATATGTATAATGTATGTTATGTTTCCTGCAATTCTCCTCCCCCACCTCCACAATAAAAGGGGAAAAAAATAATAAGAGAGAGAGCTTGCAATTAATATTGTGGGATTATTAATTATTTTCACTTTGGTAGACTGTCTAATACTTGCAGCAGAAATACCATCCTTCTCTTTCTTACGGTCACATGCCAAGACAGAAAAAACCAAGTAGTAGATCTCAATCAACAAGAAAAATTGAGAACCTGGTAGTGGTAACTCGTTTAAAACAATTCATTTATGCACTAGCAGCCACAGGGCAAAAACCAAGCAGTAAGAAAGATGAAATTAAACAGAAATTGTAGTTGTACTTACACAGGCAAAAATGCAGAGAACTACAGAAGAAGAGAAAAACAAAGGAGTTCCTTTCACATATAAAGTCAAGCCAGGCCTTCCTAATAAACGCCTCTTTGTGTTTCTCAAATGCAAAACGGAGACTACATATACGACAATCTAATCCTCAGGGACCTTGGCTTTTACAAATTTTAATCGCCAACAAACCCAACTTCGGTGTCTCTTACAATTACGCCATGGCCAAATGGACACAAAGCATGGGCAGTGGCAAACATTTAATTGCTTCAACAGTGCCCATTTTGGCTGTGTCTGTTCATGCCTCCTCCTCCAATCAAAACCAACCCTTAACCACCCCTTTACTAAAAATTGAAAAAGAAATGGAATAATGAAAAATTATCTTCCCTTTCTTCATCAAAATTTTCCTCATAGAATCCAAACACAAATTTGTAGCCCTTGCAAACTCCAAAAAAATAAAAAGCAAAAATCCCAGTACCCCATTGGGAAAAACGATTACTTCATTACTATAAGGTTACATAATACAGATCTAATTAGTAATAACAGAGATCAAATACAACAAGCAACAAACCAAAGCCAAAAAAAAAAAAAAAAAGGAAAAAACCAAACCAAATTTAGACAAAAACAAGGAAAAAAAATTAAAATATAACAAAACATGTAAATTACATAAAAATAACTCTTTCATCTTCTAAAATTCATCTTCTCATAATACCGAATTGAAAGCAAAGACAAAGACAGGTGCACCTCATCCTTTCCCCACCTAGCCGGAGCTTTATTCCCAATCATCGGCGGGAACGGATTCCAGGAAGGAGGGGAGGAAGTAGAAGCATAGCCTGCAGAACTTGACTGCGGCTTTGATAAAGGCCAGAGATACTGAGAGTGAAGTCGACGAAACCCTCCAAGAGCTAGAACAACAGATCTCAGTTGTTGATTACCACAACCAATATTAGCCAAGTGCCTGGTACAGATCAGCTCCCATAACCTCTCATCCTGCACTGTCCTGTGCCACTGCTTGCTCACGCACGCTGCCCTCCCTAAGGTACTCGCGTCAACGTGCTTCAAAACCTCGAAAAGTAAATTTTCGTCTAAATTCATAAGCCCAGTTCCTGTAATGGCTTTGGATTCTATTTCTTCCTCATTCTTTTCTTCTTGGTGTCTTTCCTTCTTCATTTTTAGGTCGCTTATGTTTTGGTTCAGGGGTTCGATGTCAAGTGGACGCTTCATCGAGAGAAGGAATGAGAGAGAAGGGAAAGGGGTTGGATAAAGAAATAACGAGGGACTGAGGGGGTTGGGGTAGAGATGGGGTGATGGATGGGTAATGGGGCCTGGTCTTGGTGGTTATCGAAGAGGACAAGAAGGTGAATTGATGCTGTTTTTTTTTTTTTTTTTTTTAATTTGTGTTTATGTAATTGACGAATTTGTACTGGTTTGTGTTTATTTTAGTAAATTTTTATCGGCATTTCGGTGTATTTTGTATTTTGCTTGCTTGGGGTTTAGCTGCTTAGAAGTCAAACCTGAAACTTTTTATTTTTTTATATGTTTGTTTGTATATACATGATGCTGCCAAAAGCCTGTGAAGGAATCTGAGAAAATAAATGGGTAAGAGGAGAAACAAAGCAGGGTTTCCTATTCTTTTTTTTTTTTTTTCCAGATTAAAACGTTTTTGTTAAAATTTAAGTATGTTTGATTAGTAATGACTATGGTTCTGTATATATTTATCACTTTTCGGATAAAATTTCTTTAAATTTTGCGAAATCACCTTTTCATTTTTTCTAATAAAATGAGCATATCCTATATATTTTTGAGAATCCCTCTTTATGTTTAATTTCTTTTGTTTTTTGTCTCTGTAATTTATAATATTCTATGCTCAATTTCAAAAGAAATAAAATTTTTTACTTTCATTAGTCATATAACCGACTGACTAAAACTTCAAGTTTTGTAAAGAACATAGTACCCCAGATATTATGACTTTATTAATTATGTAAAGAGCACACAAGATACTAAAAGAAACTACAAAAATATACCCTTATCATGTGCATCCCAAGCTACAGTTGGAAGTTGGAAATCTTTAGTAAATGGAATATATGTATATATATATTCTTAAACCATATTTCCCGTAAACTGATTACATGCCTCCATATGAGTGAATCAAAATTATTTAATTAACTAGTGCATCTCATGTTATTATATGGATTGGTTCACACTTCACATGCATCAAAACTATCTTATTGATTGGTTAGTTCATACGCTATCTGTTTGGATGAATTTTCTATCCTCTCTCCATGAGAATTAGGTTTTTTGTCGATGATATATGGCAGAAGAAATGACAAGCAATGACACTAGTTGGACAGAGTAGAACTCAGCATGTTAAGGTGAAACGTGTTTTTCTAGCTGGAAAGACTCTTCATGACCAAATGGCTCCCTTCCACCCGATGCCATTTTGTCTCGGAAGGTATCTCTAGACAAAAAAATACATTCATCAAATGATCATACACATTTAGGACACATGCCCTAACTAGGATTAGATATGCTAGTCACTGTTGACATGTAAGACAACCAGCATCGATCCTTTATACTATGCCTAAAACTGGCACACCAGATAGACGCCCATGATCAAGCGAGACTATTACGTGTTATTCATCCAAGATACTTAGACCATGTCCTGTAAATACAGCCTTGAGCCCCAAGTTGAGGGATCTTCCTCCTTTTCCACTCTTAGAAAAGAACCATGTAATATTTTTAATTAGACCATGACTGCAATGGATTCATGTAATATTTTTATTCCGTCCACATGGATTATGTCTATCAGTTTAAGTTAATAAAGGTGCATTAAGGGGCTCTTTGTTTCATATAAAATAATTTGTTTTTAAAAAATATATTATTATCTATTTTTTTTGGCTATATTAATGAAATCTGCTTGAAAATAATTGTTTGATATTTGGTATATATGAAAAATAAGTGTTAAAAAAAATAAGAATGATTTGGTGGTGAGGTTTGTGATTTAATGACAAAGATAGTAAAATATTTTTATTTTTTGACAACCTAAAATTGTTTTTCTTTATTTTAAGCTTGTTTTTTCCTAAAGCGTAAAATGTTTTTTATTGACCAAATTTTTTCAAGTGAGCCAAACGTAAGAAAATGAGGAAAATATTGCAATTGGGGCTTTACATCAAGAAATGAAAAACTCTTAAAATCATATGACTTTTACATGCCTTTTTGTCCTAAAAAGATTTCAGAAATAGAATTATTTACTTTTCTTCTCCTTTCTTTTTATTAATATTGGCTACAGGGCTTAATTTGCGCGAGGATTCATGGAGCAACAAAGCGTACACGGAGCCATCAGTATTGGCTGGTCGGGAAAACTAACAAGAGTTTTCAAGTCTTCGTAACAGGAAACAAAGAAAAAAAAAGGATAAAGACGAAAAGCAAATTCAGTGGTAGAGAAACGAGCCTTACGTCTACTTTTTATCTTTTTCCTCGACTTTCTAAATTGTGGTTTTGCTACTAATATTTTGAGTATCTGTTTTGAAAGTGAGGTTTTTGGCACTACGCAACTCACATTATCTCCCACCGGATCCTTATGTTGGCTGCTCCATGAGTTACCTCTTTTTCACTTCGTACATTTAATTCAAATTGGATTAGCACTTACCCTTGACTATAACCATGTAATTAATGCGAAGTGTCACACCATCACACTTATTGGCATGCTTGCAGCGATTCCAAAAACCCAAAGTTCTCACACGCAAGGCCAGGGCAATTCTTATAATCAATCAGGGCATTATAGGCAGGAAAATTACATTTTAGCTCCTAGGTATATGCTGTGGCGTTAATACAACTTTATTCAAAAGTATCATGGAGAATTGAATAATATGGTGTCAGCAAATTAATGGGAATAGTTAGGCAATGGTCGTGAAGATGATGTGAGCCCAAATATTGAAACGTCTTAAGTGTTTCAGCATGAAAGAATACTTCCATATGTTGGAGATAGATGGCAAATAACAAAAGTATTTGATAGATCAATCAGCATCAATCGCTCTACAGCACGGTATGGAACAAAAGTGCTTTGGGATTAGCATTCTAATTAAAGCCTTGCATTTGGTTCCTTCTTCTTCTTCTTCTTCTATTTAGAATTTACTCCTGTGTGCGTGTGTCTACAAGCAGGCCATTTCTTGGCCCATAGACAAACTTACATGTATTGAATGTATTTGGGCACTCGCAGACCCTGCCAGGCTGCCCTGGTCCCTGCACAAGGTTTTAGTCTGCTACAATAAAATTTTAATTTCTCTTTTTGAGAACATAAAATTTGATGAATTTGACCAGCCAATAAATAGGCCATTGGAAATGAGCTTGTTCGAAAAACAACAAATGGGCTATTTGGAAATGAGCTTGTTCAGAAACAACAAATGGGCCTCTGTTGGAACTTCTACTTGTCCCCGAGATTGATGGCCTAAAACAGTTGCAAACGTGCATCTCGGCTAAAGGGCATCGCGGAGGGTATCCACTGTGTAGGATAATTTTCCAATATGACTTTCGTGGTTGGAGTGAAAAATAATGTTAAAAGAGCCCGGACTGTGCCCAGGGATTATAAGAGCACAATTTCCCTTGTTTGGTCTTTTTAAATTAAAGCCTAGGTTGCTAGCCGGGTCAAATGTGACAACATGAGTACATGACGCATGTTACTAAAACTGGTGAAATTTCTAATGATAATCTAAACAAGAAGAAGCTGAGTGTTAACCGTTTACTTAATATTTATCCATCTTAATTTTACTATTTATCTACACTCGTAAATATTATTTATTTAATATTATTGTATTAATGGCATTATTGTAATTTTAAACTTTGTTTAGTCATTTGATATGTAAGTTTTGGTAAATATTACACTTTGATCTTTAATTTTTTTTATTCTCAATTTTATTTATATTATAACTCAGTTCTTGAACGTAGAGAGAAATAAAAAAAATAAAATCCGCTCCAAGATCTATCTATTCTGACCATGTGATCTTAGCTTTGATTTGCTCATGTTGAAAAGGAGAGTTTGTCTGATAAAAAAACATAAAATAATTAAAGAAAAGAAATCGAAATCCCAATATATTTTTGAGGTTTTAAATTTAATTTAGAGTTATGAGTTTTTTAGTGCACTAAAATAAGTTTTAAGATTGCAAACAAGTTTTTTGAAACAATTTTAGTGCTTTTTGATGTGTTTTATAGAAAAAATAATGGTGAAATTGGTTTGGAAATTAAGGCCGGAATGCAATGCCCTGATTTTTCGATGAGATTTCCGATTATCATAACTTCGTCGTAAGTTGCAGTAGGGCGATGCATCATCTCTTGCGCATCGCTTTTGCAACGTGTCATCTGTGATTTCTTTTTGTTTTTTTTTCTTTTAAAAAAATAGCTGGCCTAGCGCGTCTAGCCAATGCACTCGTGGGCCTAGTTCTGCAAGCCTAAGTGCGCACACCCAAGCGCCCACCCAAGCGCAAAACCAACTATTTTTTTGTCATTTTTTTATTATTTGATTTTGTTCTTAGAAAAACTCATAAGTATTTTTTTGAGTTTCTTGCAACCTAACGCGGATCAAATACCTGTAATGTGTTTTTATATTTTATACTTAATATATATTTTAAATTATATTATTTTCATTATTTGAAATTTATTTCTTCAATTTATTATTTTTAATGAAAATTTTTATCCAATTATTTTTTTCTTTTTTATTAAATTTTATTTATTGATTTATAAACATGATTATTTTTCACCATGTTTGAATTTTGAAATAAATTTTTATGAACATGATTATTTTATTTTATTAAAAAATTAAAAAATATAATTTATACAATGTATTTTTATAATTTTTAAATGAGATTATTATGATTCTAAATATATATTTTTTATTTAAAGAATAGAAGTGTATTGTAGATTTTTTTTCTCTAGTTTTGAAAAAAAATATTTTGAAATAACTAATTGATAATTGAAAGTAAGAAATGGAAAAAAAAATGAAAGTTATTGTTATACGCGTGAGGCATGTGTACGGAGACTAAACATGTAGGGCCTAAAAAAAAACTTGTTAGCTAGAAAAAAGAAGATAGAATTCATGTGTTTTATTTATTTTCTTTTTATATAATTAAAATTTATTAAAATAAATTTTACAGGGGTTTTTTTATTGAAAAATAACT